TAATAATTCCCCATTGGATAAACGGACAATCCTATGGTTTTTCAAAAATATCACTTATATCCACTCATGGATATCAGTATCGTCACTCATTCGCTGCGCTCACTTGCGAAGATATCAATATCCACTCATGAATATAAGTGATATTTTTTCAAAGCCATAGGATATATAATATCCTTTTTAAAACAAATGTTATCTAAGAATATAAATTGTAGAAAAAAGTGTCCATCCGTTCATTTGTAATTGTCTGTTCGGCTAATCAGATGATCGGATCTAGTACAGAAGCCAATAATTTTTTTCAGCGGTTTGCCCCTCTTGGTTTTATCACAACCGCCCCCGTAGATTATAATTAAGTAGGACATCTTCACTGGAACCAGACAATATTCTTGTCTGACATACGAGAGAAATCATAATTCAATAATGTTTCAAATGCAGGGTTCCCTTCGTGCTTTTGCAAATGTTGAAAATTGTATGATATTGTAACCCCGGGAGTGCAACATTGCCCAGAGAAACTCGATCCCTAAAATAATCGGACCTCTATTCCATTCGTACTCTATTCACAGAATCGATGGTACAGTTAGTAGTAACACTACGTTATTTTTGAAGGGTAAATGTCAAACATTGCATTTTTTACAAGGCCTCATCGTGGACCTCATTAACTTTCAATAAATATTTCATTTTCCCCCTTGGAGCCCCTAGGTCTGAGATCAATCATTATGCATCTTCTAAATTACCGCGCGCTAGTGACAATTTAAATGATTGTATTTTAATTTTCACTTTGCAAATATTACATACATTCCTTACTTTACAAATGAGAATGGAATTTGATGTCTAGTTTCTTGATACCAGGTTGATCGATCCTATAGTCACATATAAAAACCTATTTCTCATTTATCAATCAACCAAAATATTGCTGGCGTGTACGTATAATTACAAATTAGCTCGATTACCATTTCTTTCATATCAAATTGAGCTTCATGCCAAAACTAATTAGGTGCATTCCCAAGTGGAAATTCACCAATCAGAAAACGTACTTATTTGAAGTAAGACATGCATGATGGGATTGAAAAGGGTGCCGTTTGTTGATTACACTACTCACCTAAAGTGAAATTCCCGGGGAAAATCCTCCCGGGGACAGATTAATGTTCCCTCTATTGACCAAACTAGGTACTAGTACTTCACTCCACCTTTTGAAAATAACTAACTCATATATATATATATATCATTTTTGGTCTCGTTTATGCCACAATCGCACCCCCCCCCCCTGACTGAAAGCTGGCTACGCCCCTGCTACGAATACGTAGTTTGCTATTACACTAAGAGGTATTTTACCTAAAGTTACAGGGTTTACGATACGTAATTACCTATAAATGGCCAAAGATAGGTACACGTAATTCGGAAACGTATGTTTTATCCAACAAATTATGTCATTTCTAGATCAAATATCATCCATTAAACTTTATAATAGTAACAACAAACATTTCCCATTCGATTTGCATAGAAATTAAGTGGTCGAACACGTTCATTGATGCGATAAACGATGCCATGAGATGATGCATGAAATTGTTGAATTTACACATTCTTCATCAGTTTTGCATGAAATCAGCTATTTTCTTGTGGTTTTAATTGTTTAACTTTACTATTTGGTCTCTCTCATTGCTGGATCATGCTATAAAGGATCCGTTACCTTATGTACCTAAAGATGCCCCGAAAGGTTTCATTGAATATAACATGGAAATAGTTACTTTTATCAATTCTGACCACATCCAAAACAAAATTAGGTCATAGGGATTAAAACTAAGGTCATTCAGTGCATTTAAGTTTGACAATGCAAATCATTCTAAATATCATGTGACAGGTATGTTAATCTTCATTCATGACTATTTTAAGTATATTGACCATTCAATCAATCGATATATCAAACTATCATTAAGGTAGGACACAGAGGGCAACATATTGAAAACAAAAATCATAAAATAACCCCTAAAATGCAATATATCGATGAATCTTAATCTTGAATCTCAGCAAAAGTACCATTATCACCTCAGTTGGTATGCAGTAGGTTTAACCTAGGATATTCAATTTAGGGGACATATTAAACATCATTATCAAAGGTAGGACACAAAGGGCAACATATTGAAATCAAAAAACCTAGGAATTCAACTCAAATACTAAAATCTAGTTGTGACTTTCAAATTTATGATATATTTATTTGGCATTTTCAAAGAATAATTCAATTGAATCTAAAGGTATAAAGTCGAATGATTGCATGTAGGATAGTTTTTTTTCATCAGTTTGAAACCCATTGTTTTGCAATCAAACAAGTGGAAGTATTTTTAATCTAACCATTGTATAACATATAATAATTATGAAGTAAAATATTTTAGTTTGACTTAGGATGAGAACTATCTTACAAGCAGTGTCCCTTTAATGGCTAAATGGATATTGATTCCATCTATCAGCAATATATCATCTTTTGGGACAGGCATCAAAAATAGATTGGCCATTTTGTATCTTTTGGTAAAAACTACCTTACAAGCAGTGTCCCTTTAAACAGCTACATGGATATTGATTAAGTCCCTCAGCAATATATCATCTTCAGGGGTAGGCAATTGAATGAAGAATCAAAAATAGATTGACCCATTAGCCTCTTTGGTTGAGAACTACCTTACAAGCAGTGTCTCTTTAAATGGGTAAATGGATATTGATTCAGTCCCACAGCAATATATCACATTCAGGGGCAGGCACGACTGATGAATCAAAAGTATATTGACCCTATAATTGTTTGTCAAAAATATTTTAGTGTTCATTAGGATGAGAACTATCTTACAAGCAATGTCCCTTTAAATGGCTGAATGGATAATAACTCAGTCCCTCTGCAATATATTATCTTCAGGGGCATGCATGAATGAGATATCAAAGATAGATTGACCTATTCGTTTCCTAAGGTGAGAACTACCTTACAAGGAGTGTCCCTTTAATGGCTAAATGAATATTAATTCAGGGTCTCTTCAACATATCATCTCCAGAGATAGGGATGACTAATGAATCAAAATAAGATTGACCCATTTGATTCTTGTTTAAAACATTTTAGTGTTCATTATCATGAGAACTACCTTACAAACAGTGTCCCTTTAATGACTGAATGGATATCAATATTCAGTCCCTCTGCAATGTATCCTCTTCAGAAGCATGCATGACTGATAAATCAAAAATAAATTGACCCATTTGATACTTGTCTGATTGTTCGTTGCCTTGGTGTCTGGCAGATCCAATATGGCCTCATTTTTTAAACTAATTTTTTAATATACTTTCACATTGTATATCTTCCGCAGCCAGGACCCTCTTTCATTTCATGTTTGAACTCTGCAATTATGTCAATACTAAACAATAAAGGTGAAATCAGAGGGGGTCTGACCTGCGGAAGCACCTCAATCTGTCAGTGACTGCAGAAGGTCATTCATTCTTAAAAACAAATTTGGTTCAAATTTTATATGCTGTTGCATAGGGACACGTAAGTCTATTGGTGGAAGAATTTTCAAGATGGTGGCCATATTTTAAAATCGCCATATATTTTCATAAAAAAAATAATCTTTGTTAGTTTAAATATCAATGAACGAATTTGGTTCAATTTATATATGCCGGTGCCTAGTGATTCAGTAGCTCTGTTTGACATTGTATTTTCAAGTTCAAATTTTCAAATTTTCAAGTTCAAATTTTGAAGTTGGACCTTGGCGACTTTATTTCACATTGGCTACCATTTTTCATAAACACACTTCATCTTTGATAGCTCAGATACCAGTGAATGGATTTGGTTCAAATTTCATATGCTGCTACCAAGAGACAAAATTTCAAGATGGAGGCTGTATTCCAAAATGGCCACTAGTTTTTGATAAAAAAAATGTATATTCTTAAAAATAAACTACAGTTCATTCAATTGTGTTATTACCTAAGTTAGGTTTATGTAAAAATAATAAGCTTTGGTCTAAACATGGATTTCTTCAATAACAAATAGGAATATATGTGGTATATTATATTATCCTTTTAGTGGAGTCCTCCTTTTATACTTGGTACCAATCCTGGAAATCAATAATACTTTTGCCATTAGATATATGCACCAAAGAGAGTTCATTTTAAAACTTGGTATTCATAATAGATAATTGTATTTATAACTACCTTGCGTTTTTACATGAGGGAGCATCATGGGGTCTTTAAATGCATCCAGCGAGATTGTAGTAAGGCTTATTTGTGTTTCATACACAATATAAGACCCTAGAATTATCACTACACAAGTATATACACAGATAAGTCTTAATGTTTGGTCCAAGTTTTTATGTTTCTTTCCCCATTGGGCTTTATTCTCCGAATCACTCATCGTGAATCCTAATAATATATTGTTTGTTTTGTGCCCTTTTCCTTGCTCGTTTGTTTGTTTGTCTGTTTGTCTCTTCGTTCATTCAAAATATTTTGATAAGTTGAATACTTCTTCCATCTTTCAACTAATCAACAAGATAGTTAGTCGGTATCTAAAAATTTGATATTTCATAATTGAAATTGTTCTATACACAACTCTAATCAAATGTCAGACACCTGCCTTGATTTTATCTATATGACCTTGATAATCATTTAAATTGTGCATATTCTATTTTAAAAAGGTCACTTTATGAATTTTGCTCATCATAAATGTATATTGATTAAAAAGGACCAATTGATCATCTGGCAGACTGTTAGTTAACAGTAGTTCAACATGATCAACTGTTTAAAATTGGAAAGTCTTTAATAGTCTTTGTACAATGTTTTGTAGCTGTTCCAAATCACCTTGCATCAAATGTCCATTTCTTAATAATGGCAAAAGGTCATCAGTTAATGTGTGAACCTTTAATAGTATGATGAAATAACGTGTCAATGTGGAGCATACCCCTACACCGCCATTCAGGAATGCAATCCAATATTGCAAGACCATGAGACATTTCATTTCAAGGTTGAACACCCCCCCCCCCCTTCCTCACCATTCAAGAACCATACATTGCAATCCAAAGTTACAAGATTATGGGACATTTCTAGCAACCCCTCCTTAACCATTCAGGTTCTACATGTACATATCACAATTCACAATTCACAGATGAAGTCATATTACAACACATATCGAAGATTGATTTTAAGAGAGGACCAATCAATATTTGGATTTTTAATAAACATTTTACTCCAAATCATTTGAATCTTATCAACTATAATTTTCCAATCATTCAATAATCATGATGTATCTTGGCGAACGGTGGTTGGCATCTATAACAAATGGTGGTCTTTGTTGTGTTTTTGGTATAAATAAAACCCTTTAAAGCAGAATTAAACAAGAGTACATGTACATGTATACAGAATATGGTTATGGATTGAAAATGAATAAATATTTATTAATTATTACAAAAAACTTCTATGTTGTTTAAATATAGGTATCTGCAAACTTGGTGATTCTGGCATTATTTGATTTGGTGTTAATTTTTACCATGTGATTCAATAGACTTTGATATTAAAATTTTTTCTGATCACTCATGTAACAAAGTGAATATGAAAGGCCATTTATGGTGCACATCAGTAGCTACATAGCTTTATGGTTTAAAAAAGTTATTTTAGAATCAAATATAGATGTTGAGCCACATATTCATTGGAATTTATGAATACGTTACACATTACCTTTTGAGTGTGTTACACTTTGCCATTTGAGTGTGTTAAACTTTGACAGCTGACTATGTTACACTTTGCCATAGTTACAGGGTACATTTCTATTGAATGTTATACTTGATGTTGTGATGAAACCTTGATCACTTGTGACATGTTCAAACTTTACTACATATTTCTCAACTGCCTTTAACAGTCTTTCAATGAAGTCAGTTGGCATTCTAACTGGAAAAAGCGCATCGTGTTGACTCTCTGATGTCTTGTCTTGCTTAAAACGATTTGGACCTGTAAAGGCGTTTACTCCTGTTGCGTTCCCCTTTGGGGCTATAGAATCAAAAGCCCTATGTTTTGAATTGCTTTGTATGCTCAATTTACTTTCATTTGGATCATCAAGATTCATGACTTTTGGTCTTGTCCAGTAATAAAGGCTGCGTTTTTTCTTCGATTCTTTAAGTTTGAAATCCTCAATACTGTAGTTAATGTCCAATTCAGTTGTATTGAAAGTCTCTAGGAATTTGGTGGCTGAAGAACTTTCTTCTTGACTTGTAGCAATATCCTCTTTTGATTGTGATTGTTCCTGGATTGTGCTTTCAGTTTTGGTTGTGCTGTTGTATTTTGATTGTGCCAGATTTGGTAGCTTTACTTTTCTTAGTTGTGATTCAGTTCTGTAGATCTTTTGTTTCATTCTTAGCAAATCGAGTGATTTAGTGATCTTTGATCTGTCAATGCCATCATCAGTATTGAATATTATTTCAAGGACATTGTCCATCGACATACCATCTTCTGTTGAAACATCCGTATCACTCTCATTTGAAGCAAATGATTCTCTCCTGCTACCGGTTTCAAACACAATTTCTTCGTTGTACAGGGTCTCCACAGATTTCTTGAAAATTATATTTCCCTTTTCATCCCTCTTGAGCCCTGGATCGAGTAGGCTTCTAAGCAGTTGGTGTCTACTCATCATCTTGGATGGATTTGATTGGATATCGCCCCTTTCTAATGATCCATGACTTAATCTCTCAACTTGCAATAAATTGTTTCCTGATAATTCACTTTGAGATTTGTCTCCTGGCAACATATTTGTTGTTGGTTTGTCTCCTAGCAACTCCATTGTCGTTAGTAAAGTAGCTTCAGATGTTCCAGGTTCATATTTTGAGTTTTGGGCACACCAGTTTTGAATCCTAGTTGAGATATTCAGTGGACTGTGTACAATAATTGATTCTAGCCTGTAAAATAAGAAGGAATTAAAAATGAACAATTTTTAGGATACGAGAATACATGCCAAGAACAATTTAAAAGATAACATTTGACAGGTACGAAAATTTTCGAACGGACTGCGTGACATATCCGTAATTCGCGTGAAAAGTCCGAACGAAATGCGTACGTTTTTTTCCCGTCGTTCGTATTTTTGCTGTGTAGACGATCTTTTCAGAAAATTTTCTACAGAACTATTTTTGCGTGACAATTACCAGGTAAAATGCGTATTTGCGTGACATTTTCTGTCACGCAAAAATAACTGGCGTGACTTCAAATTCTTCAGCAAATGCGTGACAAATACGCAAATTGCGGGACAGTTGACAGGCCTGTATATGTTAGAGAACAATGGACACTTTACAAATTCTTAACTTTACGAAATTTCTGTTAAGGTACAGCTGGAAAGTAACATTTTGGTAAAAAATTGCTATACCAGCACATGTTATTTTCTGGTACAAAATAGAGTATGAAGGCATGTGTCAATTTCCTTGCTTTTTTCAGGAAAGTATCATTACATTGTCTTCTTTTAGAATATCTAGTAGGGGGGTTCAATGGGAACTCCAGGAAATTCTGATATTTCACACTTTCTATTTTTCCAAATTTTCTTTCAAAGTTTCCAGACAACACAGGAGCTACCATTGACCTGTTTTCAGATATTCTAAAAGTAAACAGTGTAATGATACTTTCCTGAAAAAAGCAAGGAAATACACACATGACTTCATACTTAATTTTGTACCAGAAAATAACATGTGCAGCTATAGCAATTTTTTACCAAAATGTTACTTTCCAGCTGAACCTTAATCTGTTAATGGCCCCTCGATGTCAAGTATGGGAATCATCAAATATTTAAAGGGGCAGTGTCTGATATGAGCACAATGAGAGTACCCCTTTATAATTTTGCATTAGGAGATAAACAGGTTCCATATACTTGCCAACTGCCAGACACTGACCTATGTTTAAACTGTCAATTTTATGATTGTACGCAGACATGAATTATTAATTGGGTGGTCAGAAATTCAAAAAGAGATTAAACAATCAACTCTGAATCTGATTAGCTCTCGCGTGAAGGGAATTCAATATGGTGGCGGAAAGCTTCAATCACATTCAATTCTTACAGTTGGTTGTTCTGTTGATTTTCTCAGTATATTGGTAATACTGTCCCAGTAAGTTTAATTGGACATCAATGATTGTCTGGGAGAGAAACCTAAGAGACGATATTTACAGAATGTTTACAGAAATGATTGTTACTAACCTATCATCATGAGAAAATTCATCTATGGATGATATCGAGCTGTGGTTCATCTGTGCTAAAGTATTGCTATCCAAGTCCATTTCACTTTTTTTGGTTTCCGTGGAGGGTGCATGTACCTTTGTGCTAAAGAATGATGTCTTAGAACTAGATCCATCCGCCACCAGTGTTGAAAGTTTTTCATTTGTGATATCACTTTCAACAACTTGTGCTTCGTCAGTTGCGCTCATTTGTTTTTCAGGGCTTGTGGTTTTATTTGCCGTTTTAATAGGTGGCAACATGGCATACTCCAGACTTGGTATCATGCCTGTATATCTCTTTTCCCTTTTTGTGCGATCCCTTTTTCCAAAATATGTAAATGTTACTTTGATGTGTTCTTCAACTTTTTTATGAGTCTGAAAGGAAAAATGAAGAACTAATCATAATTATAATTTCGTATATTTTTGTAGTCTCTGACTTTTTTGTGGACGCTGTTTGGCAGTTGGTGTTTGTTGGCTGGTGTTTGGTGGTTGGTGTTCAGCAGTTGGTATCTGTAACAAATGGCAGATGGTGAGATTTTGCATGTTATTGTTAATGCCTTGTATTTTACCTGTTTTCACCAGATTTTGCAAGCAAATGTACTTGCGTGTGCCATCAGTTCTGTCTTAAAATAACAGAAAACTCATCATATTGACATATTCCCTTTAATTATTTTCATTGTTTTTACCCATTGGAGATTTAACTTATTTTGATTGTGTTTTTGTTAACTTCTTCTTTGTTTCTGAAATAATCTAAACCACATTCTTCAAACACTTACACTCCATAAGTTTGGCAACTTTTTTTCCCCCATTGAACTACGTGTTAAAGCCTCTTTACGTTTGAATTTTTATTTACTTAACCGGCGATGATATAACTTATAATATTGATGGAAACGTAACTTGACTTTATTTCCAATACCCCCAAATTTTCTCCATGTTTTTCCTCAATTACAATAGGTCGAAAATTGTTGATAAATTTGATGAATTTTTGAAAATCGTCATTCCCATGTAATCCAATGGGAAATGGAGGGTTCGGGGAAAATCAGAAATCAGGATATCTTTTCAGTAAAAGATTCAGCAAAAAATATTTTTGTATAGGCTAGAAAATTGAATTGTCTAACTTTTATGAGCACTAAGTGTTAAGTTTATTTGATGAACATTTAAGTTACAGCGCTTCAAAGTCATTTTTGAAAATAATTTTTCGCCTCCTGTGTTATTTCAATAGGAGGGGTTTTTTGAAAAACAATTTTGACTTTAAAGCCTTATAACTTTGTTGAACCTGAAGAAACATATCAATTTTTTGTTAAATAAAGTTAACTTATTCAATTGCCTGCCTAACTCGTATTTTTAGCAAGGACTCGGATGGATGGATATTCTGTCATATGACTTGCGGCAAACCTACCATTTCCCATTGGTTAACATGGGAATGTCGATTTTCAAAAATTCATCAAAATCATCGATTTTCGACCTATTGTAATTGAGGAAAAAATTGAGAAAAAAAATTGAGAAAAAATTGAGGTATTGGAATTAAAGTCAAATTACGTTTCCATCAATAGTAGAAGTATTTTCATCGCAGGTTAAGTAAATAAAAATTCAAAGGTAAAGAGGCTTTAACACGTAGTTCAATGGGGGAAAAAAGGTTGCCAAACTTATGGAGGGGAGTGTACATGACTTGACATTACCTCAACCATATGTTTTATACATAAAAGACTTGACATTAACCTTAGCCCCATTCTTCATACACAGGTTGCTTGACATTACCTTAGTTCCATTCTCCATACACACAAATGGCATGACATTACCTTATTAACCTCAATATACACACAATTGACTTAACATTACATGAGCCCCATTCTTCATACATGTACACAAATGGCTTGATATTACCTTTGTTCCATATTTCATACACAAATGGCTTGACATTACCTTACCCCAATTCTTTAAACACAATGCCTTTACATTACCTTAGTTCCATTCTTCATACACACAGATGTTTTGATGTGCTCCACAGTATCAAACTTTGAAGACTTGTATGTTGACAAGATCCTATGATTCTTCAAAGAAAACAGCGCCTCTGTCAATCTGTCCAACAATACACCTTCGGTTACTCTAAGTGAACTGCAATGTTTCCATTGGTCTGAGTTGAGTAATTCCCAAAAATTCCCTTTCAATAAAAATGCCTCATTTTTAAATTAATCTTTAAATGACACTGTTCATCAAAATGATAATGGCCATTGCTTTATATGAATGTCAAGAAAATCTGACTGAATGAACGAATATATTAAACAATTACAGTTCCATTCAAACATGTGAAGGATGTGCACACTGTTCAAATATCAATTGCTGCCATTTGAGTTAAGAATACATATTATCAGATTAGTAGCAAGGTACCTTCATTAACTCCATACACCTTGTCAACTGGGTTGTCCTGATCATGTCGTTCAAATATTATTTTCGACTCAACACATTTTATTGTTTCCAATTCTCCCTTGTTTGCCTTTGCATTCCAGGCAGAGAGATCTGGATTGAGATGTAATTTTGGATGTAAGTTAAACCTTATACCCCTGTCCTTTTGTTTAGTTCCTGTGGTGTAGTTACGTGCTTTACCATACAACACCTCCCTTATGTCACGGTTCATGGTTGTATTGTGTGGATACAATCACAACCAAACTGCCCAGTCTTTTTTCAAGTCACACCCATATTTATTTAGTTAAATATAAACAAATATGCTTCGATGGTAACTACAAACACGTGTCACAATATTTAGATAAGTTAATGCAACTGTTATGGATAATTCTTTATTTTGTCACAATTGCATTTCTGGGTTGTGCCGAAATTGTGTTATAGTTCAGTAACTCGTCGCTAGGTGTCACTCAAGTTTCATTCGCCGGCCATGTTTGTTTGAGAAAAAGGCGTGAGTATACTATTGCACTATTTTGTAATATTTACGTCAGTGGTACTGTATATCTATATCGAGTTAAAAGCATCAATATATATAGATAATTTTGTATGGTTCATGTTACATTGTTGATACGAGGGAACGAGATATTACCATTTGAAATTACGAAATTCTCACTTCCGGTTCAAAAATTCAAGTGCTTGCTTTGTTTAGAATCTTATCGTTTGTATTTACACATTTACCCAATAACTAGGTGCATTAATGCAGCTCTGGGTGTTTATTTATATATCTGAGATTTGTCACAGGTCCAGAGTTGCATTTTCTGCCATGTTATTTTTGCCAGCCCAAAGTTCAGACCCTGAAAAATTCTAAATCTGACTGGATTTGTCCTCTCAAAAATAATTGAGGAGTCGGGTACTTGGCACATTTTCCTGAATCTAAACATTTAATCTTCTATTCCAAACTACAGTGAAATATGCCATGTAAATTGTAGTGCTGATACAAAACATCGGCTTTCAAACATGGGCTTTGAAGAGAAAGCCCATGTACAGTAGTCATATAAATCCGACCATCGTATGCTTTATTTGTCATTATTTTTTAATAATTTGGATATTTATTTTTTGTTATTTTCTTGCATACTAGGGTCGTACACACTTGTCGGTTGTAAATTGAGGGAAATGCTTTCCTGGCCTGTTTAGGCAACCAAAATCACACAAATTATGTATTAGAATATGCTCTTTATCGATAATGTATTTAATCCTACCTTACACACGTCAAACGCTTAATAATTGAAGAAGTATAAGAATTTTTCTGGAAACAAATTTTTTCCCCATGTGTAGATGCATTCTGGGTAATGATTGTGTAAAAGTAAAACTCTAGGTGAAGCGAAAAACAATTACAATAAATAACGGCAGCCATATTGAGATCGAGATTTCAACTCGAAAAAGTTTATCATCGTCTTATGACAATTGAATCGCCTTCTCAGACACCAAGGAGGGTGAAGAAACCGAAAACAGATATGTTGGTAATAAATAATTACGATTTCGTTTTGGTTGCATGGTTTCACATTTAGACTGTATTCAGTGACCTTGAGTGACCTTGAGAGCCATATTGGAAATTGGTTCAAACATATACGAAAATGATTACATTTCTTCAATTATCAAGTGTTTCCTGTGTTTAAGGTAAGATTTAATACATTCTAGTTGAAGCATTTTTTTTTTTTATTAATCATTTTTATTTCAAGTTCATATATTATAACATTTAATTTCATACAATGAAAATTCAACAAGGTTAATCAATTTAACATTTGTGTTGAACTTCGAAGAAAATATACCATACACTTATATGCAATACAAATTTGTTACAATTATTCGTAACTATTCATATATAAACAAAAAGGAAAAAGTACAATTAAAGCTGATATTGGAATGCTTTACAAAAAAAGGTGTGCAGTGGTGTAAATTATGGGATGGTGGAATATACATGTTAGTCAATCTTGGTTGCTTGTAGGAATTTTAAAGTTGCTTTCAGCAGAAGTGTATTATCTTCATTACTAAGTTCACTGTTACCATGCAAGAGCATATTTACTTTGCTAACAGAGTTAGCATCTAAGAATTTTTCTAAACAACCAATAATATGGAGATCTATAAGTAGTTGGATTCTATCATTTACAAATTGGGGGCATTTGAGGAAAAAATGAGTAGGGGTTTCATTTTCATGACCACAGTTACAGGCTGGTGAGTCAATGTTTGTAAAGTGATGAGCAAATAATTGACTTTTTAGAAATAGGTCCACTTTTAACCTGTTAAATATAATTTCAGTTTTTCTAGTGATATCAAGTGATGCTATTATATTTATACATTTTTCATTCCCGAAATGCTTTCTAAGTTTGCCTTTAAAAGTTGATATTCTATTGCAATTTCTTAAATCATTAGGCAGACCATTCCATTCTTCAATCGCAGCAAAATATGTAGATTTTCTAAATGAAATGCTGATATTTAGAGGCACAATATACTCTCTGACAGCCCTTAGAATTCTATTTGGTTCATGTAAGTATTTATTAAATAATTCAGTGACATATGAAGCTGATAAATTGATTCTACTTTTAAATAGAAATGAGCAAAGATGGCTTCTTCTTCTCTCAGACAAAGTAATCCAATTTAATGTCTTCAAGACCTTATAGGTGCTTGAACCATGCAGAGCACCGGAAATTAGACAAGCTGCATTATAATGCAGTCTTTCAAGTTTGCTGGTAGCTATATTTGGAGCACTATTGTAAATTATATCAGCATAATCAATTTTACTTAGAATAAAAGAATTATATATGGTTTCCAAATGATTCGAACGAAGAATGTGAGTTAATTGTTTAAATGGATTTAAGATTGTCTGTAATTCCTTGGTGAGCTCATTAACATGTTCCTTGAAATTAAGCTTTTGATCTAAAATAACACCAAGGTGTTTATGACTAATAGTTTTAGGAATGGGGTCACCTCCCAAATAGAGTATAGGTTCATTAACAGGGTTAGTTAAAGGTGATGTAAAAGTCAGGTCAGCACTTTTTGATGCCTTAAATTTCATTTGCCAGGTATCAGCCCAGGTTTTAATTGTATTTAGGTCAATTTGCATATTTTGAGAGAGTAAAGGGCTTTTCTTAGAGTAAGGAAGGAAGATTGATGTATCATCTGCATAAATGAAAGTCTTACAATTTAGATTATCAGGTAGATCATTTATATATATTAAAAACATAAGCGGCCCTAATACACTGCCTTGAGGCACACCAGCATTGATAAAATCAGGTTCTGACCATTTCGAGAAAGAATTATTTACTTTAACCTTCACTTGTCTTTGTGACAGATATGAATTCATTAAAAGTAAGAGATTATTGTTGATGCCATAAGATTTCATCTTTTGTAATAGTAATTGATGCGGAACGACGTCAAAAGCGGACGCTAAATCAAGAAAGATAGTTCTTACATTGTTTCCATTATTCAATTCTTCTTGAATGCAATGAATTATATATGAAAGTTGGGAAGTGGTATTATGCTTAGGAAGAAATCCTGACTGAAAACTGTAAAAGAGGTTATTTTGGATCATGTGATTGAAAATTCTATCATAAATAATCTTTTCCAGAACTTTAGATAAGGCATTTAACAATGTGACTGGTCTATAATTGACAACTTTAGATCTATCTCCTTTCTTGTGTAGTGGAACAATAATACCCTCTTTCCAAATCTTCGGGAAACAATGAGATGTAAAAATTTTGTTAAAAAGCAAACTCAATGGTTCACATATCGTATCAGCTGATAAAATTAGCATTCTATTATTTATTTTATCTGTCCCCTCCCCCTTTGATGCATCAAGTTGTTGAAGTAGTTTTAAGACCTCATTCTTATCAGTAAAAATATCTTCCAAGTTTAGATTACACCTTAATGGAAAATTTGGTAATGGTTCGTGTATTTGATCTACATTGTTCTTCTGAATAAAATATTTAAGAAAAAGTTCAGCTTTCTCAGAAGAAGATCCCGCAGATAGTTTAGGATTATCTAAATGTAAATAAGGCAGTGACACATTAAATGACTTTCCAAGTAGCTTCTTCAAAAGTATCCAGTAATCTGTTGAGTTTCTATTTAAATCTGATAAAGTTCCACATGTTGATTCTATATGTTTACGCTTAGCTTCATTTATCATATTTACAACACATAAGCTTTGTTCTTTGTATTTTTGAAGAAAGGTTAAATCATTTGAATGTTTAAATTTATGGTGAAGTCTATCTCGTTTATTAATTTGCTTCTTTATATCAGAATTGAACCAAGGCTGATCATTTTCTTTTATTAAAACCTCTTTATGAGGAATTGTTTCCTTAAAAATGTTGAACAAAGTATCAACAAACCTATGAGTGGAAATATGAACATTTTGAAGTTCTAAGATCTCTCCCCAGTTTGAATTAAGTATTCTTTGATTCAATATTGTTTTATTAAGTTTATCATATTGCCAAATGATTTTCTTGGTTGGAGTTTCTTTAATAATGTTCATTTTTAGGTATGTTAACAAAGTGCAATGATCAGTATTTCCTACTGGTGGTAGAACTTTATGATTAGAAATTATATTAATATTATCTGTAAAAGACAAGTCTATACATGATTTAGTAATAAAGTTGTTACGAGACTGCACTCTTGTTGGTTCATCTATAAGTTGTATAAAATTAAGATCAAATAAGATGTTGTGCAAGTTAGTCCCTGCTTCATCAACTTTATCATCTTTCCACCAGAAAGAATTACGTGCATTAAAATCTCCATTTACTACAGTTGATCCAGGAAGTTTCTGAGCATCCTCAAGGTTTTTACCAAGTAATTTGAAATAGTCTAGTCTATTTATTTTATCTTGTGAAGGTGATCTATAAAATACTCCATAATTGAATAGTTTACCACTTACTTTAAGATTTAACCAAATATTTCCTAGTGTATCATTCATTAGTTCATGAATTATTTCAGCTTCTAATGAATTATGAACATATAATATAAGACCTCGATTATTTGATCTATAATGTTTAAGTTCAAAATTGTCAATTTTAAGATCTTTTTGTATGTCACTATTTGTCAAATTTCCCACCTCACATAGAGCAATAACTTTAATTTGTTGCTCTTTTACTTTGAACTTTAGTGCTTCAAAACGTGCTAAACTATTTGCTTTGAGACTATTAATATTAGAAAATAATATGGGTAATTCTGATATAGGACCTGGATTTTTTTCAATGTCACCAGATAAATATAATAATTGAGAGCAATCATATAAGCAATCGAGTAAAGGTGAGCCAGGAAATATCAGCAATATTGAAAGCAGTTTAAATATTCTAATTAAAATCTTGAAGTATGACATATTTGATGTAAAAGAAATATAACCGATGCAATAGTAGACAATTAAAATGATCATACTTTGATATGATAGCACTAATAAGAACATTATAGCATTCAACATAAATGAGAAATGTACATCTCCAAAAGAGCTAATTAGAAGCATTAATAAAAATAATATCAACATTACTACCAGCCATGTCTTTTGTTGCTTACTGAAGAGGGTATGGCATTTCATTTCATTCCTAGATAAATGCAAAGTGTTATTAAAGATTCCAATAATTGCCCTCCAAATTAGTACTACTGCTGGCATTTAGCCAACACCAAGCCTTATAGATCTCCTATAAGAATATACCAAAATTCCACACCATTTGAATACACCAAAAGCACACATATTTTTGTTATTCATTTTAACAGCTTTCATTTCTTTCTGCAATGCTTGAAAAAAATGTAGAGCAAAACACAACTCACACTTGGAGAAAATTCCAAGCAAAATACTTTTAAAAGATTCTCAACTGATGAGTGAAAAAAATTTTAAACACAAAGTAGAAAACCTCCTTTCCCAACCCCTTTCATGTTGAGCAAAACAGATTTCATTTCCCTCTGTTGAAGTCTGAATAACACTGATCATAAACAATGTTCCCTGTTTCCACAGTAGAAAATTAAAACTAATGCACCACTTTTCCAGTAAAGTTTTTTTTAGAGAAATGTAATTCATACATGAAATGAACAAACAGACTAATGGTTCACATCATAAGGTACCCCTCCCCCTCATATATAAATATGTGGATTCACAAAGTGCAAAATACAAGCTGTGTGATACAAGGGAGGCATTACAATGTACTGTTTCCCAGGAGGCCATAGTATAGAACTTCACATACTCAAGCAAGCTGGTAGATTGTTTATAATCTCAAAGGTATAATGGTTATGAGCTGGGACAACTATATAAAGAATTAAGGTAGCCTTCTAAGAAAGCCATAATATGCTAAACTGCAACACGATTGGTTGATTCCAGTTTAAAATTAGAAACAAACCAATTTCAAATTATTCCATACTGGTATTACCAAAAAAGAAACATAAACCCAATAATATAACATATATACAAAGTGTGATATTTATACAGTGTTTTTACAGTCAAGGTAATCAAGCTGAATTCATTATAGCAAGAGAAATGCGAGTGGACTGTAATTACCCCATACAATTGAATATACAGCATGAATACTATATATGGTCATATAAACTGAAAATAAGGTGTGTCACACATTGTAGTGTTTGCAAACTGATGTGTACACTTTTTGACCTAAGTTCACTTCAGCTCAAAAAAGGGACCTGTCAATTTCTAACATTTTATAATGTCCATTAAGGAAAAGTCAATTAACCAAGTGTCTCAAGAATAGCATTGTCCATTAAGAAGGAGGCTGCAAGGGCACTCTTTACAGCATTTATAAAGCTGGGATTTATCTTGGAATTAAAAGGCTGAAGCCTAGTCCCAGATTTGTGAACAATAATTAGGGCATTGTTTACCTCACCTTCCTCAAGAAGGCTCATGAGCTCATTACTTGCCCCAAACAAACCATCATCATCATGCCCTGTCATTAACTGGCCATCGACTGTCAATCTATAAGCATAAGGTGATACACCGGTGTTCAAAGTTGCCTTCATGGCGGTAAGAGCATTTTCAGCACTGTTGATGGTATTGACTGTTGCTATAGATGCAATAAAACCATCACAGGGTTGTCCTGAAATAGAATCAGTTTGAGCACTAAATACCTTAACCGGCATTTGAAGGGGAGACTTGGAGAATGTAGGTGACACAAGGCCGTTTGAATCATAGAGACGATCCTGAACAAGTTTTACTGCCTTGGGATTTGCATCTGTGGTTTTCAAGTTCTTGAAGTTACCATACTGTGCATCACGCCTTAACTGCATATCCCTTGGTAGCTGTCTTGCCACTCTGATATCAGAACCTTTTAAGTTGTGCACAAACTTAAAAATTCTCTCCACACTTGATCGGTCTGCAAATTTCACAACGATTGGGCGATGTCCTCTTCCTTGTTTCCCAATAGGATGGGCAATATCAATTCGAATTATCCCAGATAAATTATCCACAGAATGGAGGCTATCACGGGGAATCTTAAGTTTCGACACAAGTATATTTCCGATCAGGTTCTCATAATAACGCTCTGATCTGTCATTGTTTTGTGGGATGTTGTAGAATATCAGATTCATTTTCATAGATCTGAATCTAATATCAGAGATATCATCAGTTAGCTCGCCAAAACGCATTTTGTAATCCTGGACCGTGTTACAAAGAATGTTCACAGTAGATATTAGCTTTGCATTTGAGTCTTCCAAACGCTTAACCCTATCATCTAGGTCAGCACTTACTTCAACACTTTTTTCAACTTTAGAACACAAATCAGCTAAAGATTTATCCTGTGATGTTTGATGTTGGCTAATTTGTTTGACAGTATCCAGTATTTCTTGAAGAACGACATTATCTGTAACCCCTGTTTTTGACATTTTTGGTGCAGGACTCTTTTCAACAGACTCACTCGTTGAAGATCTGTGGTGTTTTGCTTTTCTAGTTTTGGTAGGCATCAATAGAGCACAATGTGTAACAGTTATAGTCTGTTCTATTCCTTATGTAAACAAGAATAACAGGTCCCTCAAATCAATATGTCCACTCTATGTATAAATCAACTCAACTTCAGCTCCAAATATTACTAAAAGTCCATAATATTGAGACTCCTATTCTTGTCTGGTTACTCTCTATATATTCATATATCCATATATTCAGTTGTTATCAAAAATCCATATATCCAAATGCTAGGAAATTACTCAAAGTGAGGAGCAGATATTTTACATGTGCATTACATGACCTTTGACCTTATCTTTTGTTATCTTTTGTTGAAGCATTGGATCCATTATCTTATCTGTGTAACTTTTGTTGGGCATAGAGGGCAGAAAAGCATTTACCGCAATATACTGGCCTTAATATCCTCGACGCAAATGTTGAAAACAAAAATAAAAAACAAATATCCAAATCGTCAAAAAGAAACGTGAAACAACAACATTAAGTCGAGTTCACTTGACTAATGTACAGAATAATAAATGATGAGTTTTCAAACCAAACAGAGTGCTCCTACCAAAATGGATTTGCTATATTTGCTGAGACTCTTGTCTGATGGATAGAATGCAAAAATAAATCAAAAGTTTTGCTATTGTAGGTAAAAAAAGTTCTCTAAATTTGGAACTATGGGTTTTCAAACTACTGTGGTTTGGAACAGAGGCACAGATTCCCAAATTTCTTTACTAGCCATGGTGGCTTGTAATGTAAAATACTTGGTACCCAGCAGAAAAGTTAGGCGCCAACATTGTAGCTTGTAACCTCAATAGTTACAAGCCAAGAAAAAACGAATTAAATCCCCCATTGCCTCTTTATTAAGAGTTTTCTACATAGGCCCAGGGAACATGTATAAAATAGCGAGTACAGATGTCGACTCGCTATTTTTTATACATGTTCCAGGGGCCTATGGTTTTCCACGCATTTCTGGGCTAGAGCTATCAGTTTTTCTGTGTTGACAAACATGACTGTGCATAAATATACTATGATTACTCCACTGAAACTGCTACTCACGCCTGGAAAGACTCTTCATCGGCTCAGAGTCAGAGACCAGAACTTATTTCAATCGATTCGTTTTTTGGAAAAAAATATTTTCAAATATGAATGTCCATTATTGGCTTTCAAAAGCTCAGAGAGCTCATAATCACAGCCTATATTCTTGAAAACTTCAATCTGGTCTGATCTGATCACATTTCTATTCATTAAGAAGATATGATCAGCTAAAAACGATCAAAACAAGAGAAAAGTAAATATTTTTTCCAAATCCATGTTTTGATGTTTTGGTCACGTGACCACACATGAAAGGTCAGAGGGAATGAAGCTGATTGGTCAAAGAATTCATGATGAACTTTAAAACGGCGGTAAATTCAAATGTATCTGCACAATGATTGGTCAAATAATTCACATTGCCAAAAATTAGACCAATCAAAACGAGAGACACAAAAAGGAGACAAAATATTAAAACTACAGGATAAGGAATAGTTCCCAGAATACTTTGCGGGTCAATCGGGCCTATCAACGATCTCAATTACATTCTTACCACTAAATTGATGCCGGGAAAGCACACTTTCGAAAAAATTGTAAATATCGATCAGCTGATTTAGCAAAAGCAGCATTAAATCCACATGAAATCTTCGTCTTTTCACCAATTTACACGATTGAAATGATTGGATAACAGGTATATTATAGTGGGAACTCTTGTACGCCAGGAATACGTGTGAATTTGATTTGTTTGGCGCCCGGGGCCAAAGTTAGGCGCAACTGGCGTCCTGGCGTGTGGGAATCTGTGGCTCTGGTTTGGAAACTAGACTATTGTGATTTGAAGGTCTTGGTTTCAAATATTGTCTCTATACATATCTTCTAAAATTACATTTTGTGTGTACTCTCACTCTCATCCACTGATGTATGGCTTCTTGGAAGTTATTTTAACATGGGGATTCCTCACTTCATCAAATTCATGACTTATGGTCCAGACTGTTTGTGAAAGACACGTACATGTAAATTCAAATATTAGAGTTACCTGAAAATAGGTGTGGTTTGTAGCAGCGGTATGCATAAAGTAACTGAAAAGTGATTACAGGCCAAAATGACATTTTTGGTGCCCTGATTGGACGATAGCTCTTTAATTGTATTATTTTAACAAACAAAAAAAACTCAAATGGACTAAAGTAAACTACTTCAATATCCTGCCTCTATTTTCTTTATCTCTATCTTCTAATTTTCAGATACAAAGAGAAATATAATATTCATCAAAATGTCAGACACTGAAGTAGGAGATGTGAGCAAACTAACAGTTGTACAACTTAGAGAACAATGTACTAAACATGGATTAGCAACAACTGGAAAGAAAGCTGAATTAGTAGAAAGACTAAAAGCAGCAACAGCAGTTGCAGAGGAGGTTAAAAAGGAAAATGGTAAGTTGCAATGAATCAGATTTTTAAGAGTATTAATAGCCAGGTTGTGACTTTACATTGCAATTTAGCATAGCTTGTGTAATCCTTAAGAAGCCTGCATGGATAGATTTACTGTTGCTTTGCTTAAACAAAATCTTTTTTCAGAAGCACGGGTTTCTTTAAAACTTTATTCATTTCATATCAGCAATTCCTCTAATATGTTGAATGATGTATTAATGCCATTCTTATATATCTCATAATGCATCACGTAAAATATGCAATACGTTAAAGGACATCCCTCATCACGACTTGCTTTTATAATTTATCAAAAATATCATTATAGATACCACAGAAGCAACAGTTGAAGCAACCAATGGAACCACAGCTGCAGAAGAGCCTAAAGCTTCAGAGGAAGAAGTCAAAGCAGAAATTGAGGAGACCAAAGAAGAAGAAACAGAAAAGGCCCCAGAAGAAGAGGAAACTACCAAAGATGAAGAAGAGGTGATGGATGTTGCTAATGAGGAAGTTAAGGGGGAAGAAAATGAACCAGGTGCTAAAGTTGAAGGGGATAAATCTGTTGAAGAAGTACTAGCTGAAGTGGATGAACAAATCAAAGAATCAACAACTTATGAAGTCATCGATGAGGTCACAGGTAATGTACAAGCTGTACTACAATTTTATTAAAAGTTGTGTCATTGAGAGCAACATTGTCAAAAAATATATCTTATTCAGTATTTCAATATCAATTAATGGATATTTTTCCTCTCAAAAACACAAAATCCAGATATTTTTAGCCTTTAAGTCTGTAACTATAAATGCTCAATTTTTGCTGTTATAAAGTAATGTTGTTTACTTGAACATTAACGTCAGTCGGGTGTATTTTCCAGGTCTCAAACCCATATTAGTACCCCACACATAATTTTGTGGCAAACTTAAGATTTAATACTTTCCCATTCCATGATGAAATACATATTTCCAAAAAGCCATTTTCAACACTTCTTATTTTGTAAATTGGACCCCACGTGTCAATTTGAGAAGTAGATCACATTTTTCTGCTTTTATGTAAACAGTTTTGAAATTGCTATTACAATAGGTGATGATGATGAAAAGGTGGCAGATGGTGAGGGAGCTCCTGAAGGAGATGAGGTACTCGAGGGAGATAGAGGGGAAGATGACACTCCATCCAAAGAGGATGGGAAAAAGAAAGAAAGGAAAATAATCCCAAAACTCGATCGTGATTACATAAAGAAATACATGATGATTGGTAAGAACTTCATAATTGATTTTGTTTGTCACCACCAGAAGTTAGAATCTCGGACGTTTTGTGGGTGGCCATTGGTGTTCGTGGTTGGCCTCTGTAACAAATGGCATTTGGTGACATTTTGCATGTTAATGCCTTGTTCCAAATTGCTCAAATGTATTTTTAAGAATGACTGAACAAATTAGTAGGTAATTTGTTTTTGTACAATGAGCAAATTTAATCCCAATGTAAAATGAGTGATCACCCTGTAGTCTACTTACAAAATGGCAGTATTAGAAAAACCAAATGCTTTAATCTAAATAAACTTGTTTTATATAGTACATGTAAATTGATCGGTTGCAACACATTCAACAGGGGATCCAGTAAAAACAGTCCAGGGAAATTGCAAATGATATTTCCAAACAGTGTCAGATCAACAAGAAAAACTTCATGTTTGTTTTTGTCTTATTTCAGCAAAGAAAGTTGAGGTCTACAGGCGTACACTCCACGTAGGTCCTATAGAAATCTCAGACTTAAGCAACTCTGTTGTTCAAGACCTTATATTAAAGGGTGTCGAGAGTCATATGAAATTCTTATCCAAGACAGTCTCGGACCTTTCACACCACATAGGGTAAGTAATTTTGATTAATATCAAAGATCTACAAACTATTGACTTGGTAAAAAATTACTAAAAAGGTATCAACTTTTCAACATCTCGCCAGAAAGATCGCCAAACTTCTCATGAAGATTACAAGGAATTTTTATTTTGGTTTTGTTTTTCGGTAGTTTAAGCCTAGCCCTTCTTTTAAACCCTTTCCCAAGTCACAACTAAAGACTGTTCCGCTTGTGGAGATATTCCACTTATAGAGTGCTCCACTTAATAGATTTGACTGTTTCCAGACACTGACCGGTGAACACATAGTTTTCATATTTAAAGTTTTCTTTTTCTTTTTAGAACACTAGAGATCAAGTTCCAGAATGTTGAGGCAATGACCGAAGCAGTAGAAGCAAACAAAGAGTTGGAGATAGATGGTAGGAAAATACAAGTTTACGCAGCATACACTCCATGCGAGGATGATTATAAATGTAAGTACAGGGAGAATCATACTACAGTAAAACCTGTGTATCTTGAACATTTTTTGCAAAAAGAAAACATACAGAGAGGGCTATTTATACAGAAGTCTTAGAGTATGTGTTGAGGAAGAGTGTCTACTAGAGAGAGGTGTTCACAAGGGAGGCGTTCACTAGGACAAGTTTTACTGTACATGAAAAATATATTAGAGATCAGAGTTTTTCAATGCTTGATTTATAGATTCCATTAGAATATCTGGCAAAGCAAAATAATGAAATAACAAGCAAAATTATTTGATATTATAATACATGAAACGTTAAATTCCTTGAAAGAACAAACAATTTTGGTAAAAACAATCAGAATCTATAGCATACAGCTTATCAATCTACATTTGAGTATATAACTTGGTTAAAAACATGCATTTCTCCTATTAAAGGATTTTAAATGAGCATATAGTCATATGATTATTTATGAATCAGCAATTTATTATTTACTTTTTCTATGTTTAATTGCAGCCATGGGAACTTACATCAAACTTGGAGAAAGTAAGCTTTTTGAAATTATTCAACATTCGATGCTGTATAATAGAGTTGAATATCAACATTTTCAATCCAAAAGGCTTTTTGAGTCTGTAATGGTAGTTTATAAATATTTAAAAATCCTTCCATTAAAAAACAATAGATCATATTTGTCACCAAAATTGTGATTTGCACAGCAATGTTAAGAAGAAGAAAAGTTTAACAACAGCAATAAGAAAGTACAAAAGGCAAAAATAGAGAAACAATACAAGCCTAGAAAATCATAGCAAGACGATGAAAATAAAGGAAATTGTTCAACGTTTGAAAATAAAGTACATGTTTTTATATCAACTCCAAGAAGTGACAACATAGTTACAGGCATTTTTGTGACTGGATTCAGCTTCTGTAACAATTGTTACACTTCTTCAGGTGGTTACATATGTTCAATTAATGCCTTATTGTATACCTTAAAGTTATGTAATATTATATTTTTTTTAAGTTTAAGTTATGTTTATTGTTCCATTCAATTTATATACGTACATATTATAACAATGTGACGCAGATATATTGTGATTTTTTTTATTGCAGATAAGAATGTTGATGCCTTACAGACCTACAAACGGGAACACAAGAAGTATGACGGTAAGGTCTCCACTTTAATATACACCAACCTCTATAAATTACAAATATCAAAATCTTGTGTCAAAACTTTCAATGGTCATGTTTTGAATCTAAAAATTTGAGAAAAAGAGTGGAATTCAGAACGAAATTTTAGAAACAGACTTATTGATAATACTCTAAATTGTATGGAATAGCGTCTGAACCATAGATTATTATTGAGATTTTTAAGATTTTGGAGAGAAAGGACAAGAAATACCCATGACCAAAAATTGATGTTTTTACATAAGATATTTGGTGTATAAAGGATACATGGATTTACTTCCAGCATTTAGACAAAACAATTTGAATATTTTAGTACTATTTCATTAATTTTACTTTTCATAATATTGGACTCTAGTATATCTGATAAACAATATTCAGTTCAAAGTTTTATTGTATCACTATTTTCAAAATACATTTTGAATTGAATTTATTTTGAATATGCAAGTTGAATGTAAAACTTGAATATTTGGATAAATGATTGACAGATTGATTTCAGTTGAATGATTATGCAAATGAATTATGCATAATTAATTATAAAACAATGTTTTATGAACCTCATTTATGAACTTCATTAGTGCTTTACTATGTAAAGTAGCACAAAAGTAGCACTTCGTGTTACCAGCACATGTATTGACTTACTTACTATGAAATTAATATGAATATGATTTCTGATTTAGCCAATAGGTTTTGTTTGCCTTATTTGGGCATTCTTATGTTGCCATGACAGCCTGTGAGTCGAGGCTTGTTCTGCTATGAACTATAGGTTGCGATAGTCGGCAATTTGGATATTTATTTATATTCCAAAAAGCCACTATAACACCAGGAACAACTACTATGAAATGGGCACTCTAACCTTTCATCACCATTCCCCATAGGGGGACAACAAAACTCCATATATGGTGCTTAACTCGGTCATGTGACCTGGAGTTACGTCACCTTTATCACTACTGCTTTACAGAGGCGTTAGAATGCCGATCACTTTATGTGAAAAATCTGCCTAAGTCCGTGACTGAAGAGAAAATGAAAGAGCTTTTTGAGGATGCTGTGGCTATATATGCCCCACGGGATGCCACGGCCAAACTAACAGGGTAATGTCCACAGAAAAGACATATTTGTCTTCCTGTTTTACGCTGCGTCGAAGCGGCATGTTTTTGTTAGCACTACTTCCAATGTGTGCATTCTAGTATTAGAATAAACACTCAATTTTGAAAATATTTCCATTAATATTTATTGCAAATATCTTTTTTTGCGTATTTGCACTGAAATTGAATTGTATTGTTGCTGTGAGACAATTTAAACAGTTTATCTCCAAGCTATGTTGTTTGATAGTTTTAGCTTGTGTGGTTATTTAGGAGATAGGCTAAAACTACATAAGTTAAGGCCTGGATCCGATACAGTGCATTTATAGTGAAAAATGGACATTACTCAAATGTGTTGAAATCTACCACATGAATATTATATTGAATAAATTATGCTACATATCTTTACCCTTTGGTGCCCAAGTCACCCATTGTTAAAATATTGGAAAATAAGTGGCATGCATAGCAGTTTGAGGATTAAATATTTACCAAGGATGAGTTAAAACCAGGAAAATGATTTAAATCAGGGAACCTATTCTTCAAATATGTTCCATCTTGATACAACATTTTTACTGATTTCAGAATTGTTTATATAAATATAGTCTATTGGATTCTATTTCCCTGTTTAGAAATAAAAATTTTCTTGAATACTGTAGCGAAAAAAATCATCAAGAAATCTCAGCGTCCCAAAAAATTTTTCTTTTGAATTCTTAAATAATAGTATCTTACATTGATGGCTTGACACATTGTGTCTCATGACACCTTATAAGGACACATCACATGACACTTTGTAGGGAATGTTTCGTGGAGTATGAGAGTCAAGAGAAAGCAGCCGAGAAGTCGAAGTCTATTCGGGGAACATTGAAGTTTGACGACCAGGAAGAAGAAGGATACGTCTGGCAAATAAATCGTAAAGAATGGAAAATAAGCGAAAAGTTCAGAGGTCAGTAAAAATATTAAACAACCTGATTTGCTAGTTTCTCTATAATTTTCCCAAAATCTGATAATTTCACATCTTTACCAGTATGTTTTTTTTCTATTAATATTCCTCAGAAATGCTTAAGTCCCATCAAACAACTAATCAGTGATTGCTTGCTACAATATCAAATAATTTTCTTAGTATGACAGAAAATCAAGTACATGCCGTTTACATTTATTTTTATTTCACCTTTTCCTCGTAAATGTTCCCCACAATAAACATTGGTCAGTTTATCGATAACATGACAATATTCTAGCATATCTTTGACTGATTTCCAGAGAGCTTGAAGCGTGGAAGGGGACGCGGGTCCATCACTCGAGGAGGGGCCTCGTCAAGAGGAGGAACGCCAAGAGGAGGCATCGGTAGAGGATCTGCAACTGTGTAAGTAATCTAAATATTGGAATCTTTGACACAAACAAAAAATCTGTGCAATCATACTTGTTCTACACAATTCTTTGGAAAATAAATTTCATTTTTGTAAATTAATTATTTATTTGAAATACCAAATGAATATCTGTAATAAGAAAAAATTGAATATCTGTGCCAAAGCCTGGGATGAAAAAAACACTCAACACCGGAGTGGATTGAAAACAATGGCCAAATGCACTCTAATACAACTAAAATTATTGAAACAAAAAATGTTTAAAGAAATGATTGAAAAAAAAACCTTAGAAATTATGTATGTATTTTGAGATTTTTTGATTATTATCATTTATTATTATTTTATAGTCGCCGCACTTCATCGGGAGATGGTGGTCCCCCGAGGAAGATCCCAAGAGTTACTCCCCAGTCCCGACCCGCTTCCTCCACCCCCAAACGTGGTGGCTTCTCGCCCCGAGGGTCAGGATCCATGAGAGGACGAGGAGGAAGAGGAAGGGGAGCATACAATGACCGAGACAGATCATTTGATAGAACTCGCAGCCCAAATTCTAGGTGAGTTATATGAGACTCTTTACAAGACTAAGTTTGTCTCATACTCTGTTAAACAGCTACAAACTTTTAAATTATCTGAACCAATCAGATCCTGTCATGTTGCCACTGTATATGCCACCATTGACAGATAACTTTTAATGAGTGCACATTAATGCACCAGTATTCATATCTAAGGCTGAAAACACGATTGGCTTAATATGATAGGAAACTTGTTTTTCCAAACTCATTACCAATAATGAAAAAATGATCGGTTAGGCAAATTTAACATTATTGACATTATGATCTTTTGCGTTTCAGACCAGACATGAACAGGAGGTTTAGCGGAGGGGCATCTAACACAGTGAGCAACATTATTACGGGACAAAATAGAAATCCTAACACTCAGGCACAGGCAATGAATCTGCTAGTAGGCATAAGTCAGATGTTGAGGTGAGATATTTGGATAAATGTGAAGAAAAAATAATCTTTAATCAGCCTTGTGTAGATTCTGTTTACTATTTGATGAATACTACAAAGTAATAATAGAATGATAATGTCTAGTACAGTAAAACCTATTTCAAGTGATCACTTGTGGAACCAGCCAAAAGTGCTCAAAATGTTCAGAGATGTTTACATTAACACATTCTGACAGTGTTCAAAATGGAACTGAAGTTTATTACATGTTTAGAATTGTTGAAATATATAGATTTAATGCCTTGGTCACATTTGCTCTACGGCGCCTGGCTGATAAACACTCAATTTGATGGGTGCCGGCCGATGGATCGGAGCAAATGTGACCAAGGCATTACTGAAGTATCATATCAGATATCACTTAAAGGATTGTTTGCATATTGTACATATTAAGTTTGTGAGTATTTCATTTGCTTTAAACTAAGGTTTATATATTCACTATTTACTATTTCAGTCATGGAGGCCAAGGAGGAAATCAGAGTCGTTCCAGTTACCAAGACAAGTATGCAGTATTTATTATTATTTATTTCTATTTACATATATGCGTATCATATTTAAGATTTCAATAAACCAATTTAATTCTGTAAATCATTCAATTTATTGGCTTCAATGAATTACTTATTAATGCTAATTTTCAAACATTGCTGTCTGCAAATATTATGACATCCTAAATCTAGCCTATATCATCTAGCTTCTTTGGTTTACCAAAATGGGTCAGGATTTATGGGAAAGGAGTATTATGGCGTACCCTTCATCTGAAGATTCCTCTACTTTTGTGATTTCAGCATTTTGAACAATGAATAAAATCAAATCTTCAGTCTCATATTTGAGTTATAAATCCTAGTCTCATTCCTTAAGATCAACAAACTTGAAGAATCTGTATCCATTTTAATGGCCGATTACCATGCATATTTCCTGCGGACTGTGTCATTTGCTTGCACAAATCCTTCAAAAATATGCTATATAAATATGCTGAGTATTTCATATATGATTGTGGGATATCAGATGCTACATTTATAGATATACTCAGCATTACATTTTTTTTGTTCTTATGGAAGATTTGAGTTCAAAGAAGCTTCACAATTACCTGTTTCTGTTGGAAAAGATGGTCACAAATCGAAGTGTTGGATCTCATTCTAGCACATGGTTGGACTTGTATATTGACATATTGTGTTTTCCAGCAGAACAGTAGGAATAAAGCTATCGTGTGAAATGTCTGCAACTAATGCTTATTTTCCTCAATTTCACTCTTAATTTTGAATTGAGTGTCTGATATTTTCATTTCTATACAGTGTAGAATATCCACTGTCTGTCAGACATTTTCTTGTTTGTTTGCAGAAATGAATCAAGTGACATTCTTATATTTTTAATCAATGTCAAAGGACCACTTCACACTGTTTATTTCATTCTGATTCTCTCCATTTCACATTTAGAAAGGTGACCATTAGATAATGAAGTGATATTCTTACATTTTTGTAAAATATAGTATTGTCTATTACAAACCTAAGTTACTCTATTCCTTGCTGACTCCACATTTTCCCCTCTAAATGTATTTCATTTCCAAAACACCACCATTAGTACATGTCATGTGTTTTTGCAGCAACAGTTGGAGTGGCTCACAGAGAGGAGGCTATGGCGATAGCTACGGTAGCAACAGTAGTGGGGGTGGGAGTAGCAGCTGATTCCACCATTAATATATTTCATGTGTTTTTGCAGCAACAGTTGGAGTGGCTCACAGAGAGGAGGCTATGGCGATAGCTACGGAAGCAACAGTAGTGGGGGTGGGAGTAGCAGCTACCAGGGAGGTGGCATGAGAGCCCAACAGAGTTACTCAAGCAGCGGGGGTCAGTGGAGAGGTGAGTATTACATTTCTACAGCTGTTGGAGTATGTTATGTAAATGAACAGTTATTCATTTTAAGGTTGAATTTTTTAGCTATGAGGGGAATTAATTTGGTGCCTGTTTTTTTCAGTTTTGTAATTTACTTAATCTAAACAATATCACAAGTTAATATCTTTTGTCATTTGAACTTGCATATTTCCTGCGGATTGTGTCATCTGATTGCTTAAATCCTTCAAAAATATGCTATATAAACATGCCATATGTTTTGTATAATTGTGTAATCATATGACTACACTTAATCACAGATGGCGTTACATTCCTTTCTAATATGTCCAATGAAAATGGAAACATTTACAGGGTAACCAAAATATTTTACCAACTAATAAATATGATGGAATCCTATATGCAAATAGAGTTAATCCAAAACTGAGGGTAATGTTTTTTTGTCACCCTGTATTTGACAAAAACATATGACATTACCTTATAGATTTCCTGCATCTCTCACCAGTCCAACCCTAAATGGAAACAGTTTTGTATAGAACATATATTGATTGACCCAATGAAACTTGAGGTATTTTATTAGTTTTAATTTTATGTTTTTTCTCACCAGGCGCAAGTTCAAGCAAGTCCCCACGAGGTGGTAGAAGTTACGACAGAGGGAACAACAGGAAGAGGCGTGGCAAGTGGTAGACCAATCAACAGACTTCAGAATATAAATAATGGTATGTTCAAATGAGTCGTTGTGCATTGCAATAAGCATCTTAGAATTATACATGCAAAAGGTTTATACTGGGCAAATTATTTTTTCTCAAACCTGTCATATTTTTGTTTCGCGGATTAAATAATTTAATTAATAAATTTTAGATAGGAAGTTATGTCGATAAAATTCCGTAACTTAACACTAAATTTTTTATTTTTTCAGGCTATAGTAGTAGATGACAGTGTTAATATATAAGGACTGGCTATGACATCATATAAAACAGTAATTCTTGGGGTTTTATCTCAGACTAATATATCTGATCTGCAAGAATCAAAGAATGCAATTGTGTACAGCTGTACTAGAACTATGAGCTGACTTTTAAGAACCAGTTTTATTCAGGACGTTTCTCAAATCAGTTTCAATAGACTGAGACAGTTTGGAAAAATCCACATGTGAAAACAAAATTATGGACATGGTTTGGGACATTCCATCTGGAGAAATTTGTGTTACATTTGACCAGATTTATTTAATGTTCTAAGCAATGTAACCAAGTTAAAGGATCTTGGAAATGATACATTTATAACCCATGTGATACACTTTTACACTGACAAGACCCTTTAACATTTGTTGTAATAATGAAGTGAGATTCTCAATAAGGGAGAATCAAAGAATCATGGATGTTTTATTTTTGTAAATAATACTCATATTTTATTTTAGTTCCATGAAATTTTTAATCTCAAATAAGTCAATGTATTGATGAATGTTGCACGTGAAATGAAATCAGTTCTGGTCAGAGTTGAAAAAAGCTCATAAAATTGTGTACTTTTAAATGTGTTATAACAGTGATTTAATTTAAAGATTATTGAATCTCAAATAGAGACTTGTGAAAAATACTTTAAAAAACCAATTGTGTTTTGTTTTATGTTCATGATTTAGTGTTTACAAAAATGTGGCTTATATCCAAGTCTTTTATTTAAGGAATAAAGAATTGTGTATCATTCTTTGTATTTAATATAAAAGCATGAGTGTATGTACTAACCCATCTACATAATGCACGAAGGTGAAGCCTGGGTGCATTATCAGAGTACATACACGAATGCTTTTACATTTACCAATATAGAATGATACATGATCTTTATTGCAATTCAAACACGACGATGTCTGTGATGAAGTAGAATAGTTCACCATTTACATCTATATGTTTTCGAAGTTTATTATTTAGAAATACTAAATAGGTGTGTTAGGTTACAATTGATATTCATTTGTTTTGTTTGTCAAAATATTATAGGAAATGAAATAATTAATTTGATCCAGATAAATTATGAAATCTTAGTTGGAAAATCATTTCATTGACTAAAATGAACACATTTATGATATACTGTCACCTCTTTTTATTAAAGAATAGTACTGAGCAGTCTGCATTCATCAAAAATTAAATGCACAGCAAAATCATTTTCATGCATTTATCAATAAATTAACATAGTGAAATGCTTTAAGATGATTGTCTGAGACACACTTGGCATGTTTGAATAATGAGTAAAATTGGAGGTAGTTTGGAACTTTGAAAAAATGACGCTAAAGCAGACTTGTGAGAAAACCCAAATCCATTCAACTTGAAATTCTTAGAGACGCTAAAGCAGACTTGTGAGAAAACAAATATCCATTCAACTTGAAATTCTTAGAGACGCTAAAGCAGACTTGTGAGAAAACCCAAATCCATTCAACTTGAAATTCTTAGAGACGCTAGAGCAGACTTGTGAGAAAACCCAAATCCATTTAACTTTCAATTCTAAGAGACGCCAAAGCAGACTTGTGAGAAAACCCAAATCCATTCAACTTGAAATTTTAAGAGATGCTAGAGCCTACTTGTGCAAGATCTGATTAGCTTTCGGGCATGTTCGGTTAATACATGGTGGTCAATTCTTTCTGCTAAGTACAATTATAAAAATGAAAAATTTGAGTGAAAATAATTTTCATATACACATATGACTTATATCCCAAACCACAGATATATAAGGACAAATATGTTTGGTTATCAAAAATCAGGTTATATGAAAGCTTAGGTGTTGTACTGATCTACCATGCGAAAGTCTCAAGTAAATAGGGCACATTTGAATGGACAGGTGAAAAGTCAGACAAATGTAATTAAAGAAAATATAATTTATTTACAAAATATACTACAGTTAACATATGATACATTATAGTTTAAGACGTTTAGTGACGTCCTTTACAAAATATATAATATATGAACTGATATATCAAATAGCACATACAAACTGATATATCATCTAGCATACAAATTAATATATCATATAGCACCTCCAAATTGATATATCATATAGCACCTACAAATTAATATATCATATAGCACCTCCAAATTGATATATCATAATCACATAGTACCTACAAACTGATATATCATATAGCACCTCCAAATTGATATATCATAATCACATAGTACCTACAAACTGATATATCATATAGCACCTCCAAATTGATATATCATAATCACATAGTACCTACAAACTGATATATCATATAGCACCTCCAAATTGATATATCATAATCACATAGTACCTACAAACTGATATATCATATAGCACCTACAAACTGATATATCATAATCACATAGTACCTACAAACTGATATATCATATAGCACCTCCAAATTGATATATCATATAGCACCTCCAAATTGATATATCATAATCACATAGTACCTACAAACTGATATATCATATAGCACCTCCAAATTGATATATCATAATCACATAGTACCTACAAACTGATATATCATATAGCACCTCCAAATTGATATATCATAATCACATAGTACCTACAAACTGATATATCATATAGCACCTCCAAATTGATATATCATATAGCACCTATAAACTGATATTTCATATAGCACCTACAAACTGATATATCACCATATTGCAACATTTCATATTGAATTCTGATATTGGTTGATCAATATATGGTGCAAGCTTGTACTGACAACACACGAGGGGTGACAGGGTGATTAATACTCTTTTACTGTCTCATGACACTTTAACTTGAAGTGAAGAAGCACCCCATGATCTGATGCATTTCAACTACTTGTATTTGTAATTAATACATATTATCATTTAGATATACTATAGTAGCACAGTTGTATATATACCAAAAGTAGGTTTACAGTTACTCTCTCTTTCTGTAAACCTATATTTGGGCCACCTTGTATATTGCCACACAAAATGAACTAGAAGGAGTAAGTTCTGTCATGTTACACCAGTATAAACTGTTCACATAGAATGAACAAGAAGTCATTAAGTTCTGGCCTTTGGCACAGATACACTTGTAGTTGTACTAGGTACCAAAAGTAGGTTTACAGTTACTCTCTCTTTCTGTAAACCTATATTTGGGCCACCTTATTGCCACACAAAATGAACTAGAAATTGCACCATTATAACTCATATTTAGTCCCACAAAGCATGGGCTTTCAATTAGTTCTAGTTGAAAGCCCATGCACAAAGTAAGCCATAAAATTGGTTTACTCAACAAAGTGCTCTTCATTCTTGAAGTTCAATTAAGGTAGGCCTAGTAGAATCAATTGGGCATGTGGGACAAATTATACATTTCAACGTGTCCGCATGAATGTCTCAATGTCAAGTTGATTAAATAAACAAGGAAGGAATTCTAAAATAGACTTCCTGAACGGCTTCACAGTATTTTTCAATGATCTCATGAATTCAATACTGTAGTTCTGGCATTAAATTTCTTTAAGTCTGGTCTCTCAAGAAATTAATTCAAGAATTGTATTCTCCTGTGCCTACCTTAATACTGAACTAAAAATCAAAGTCAGAGTCATAGAGTGGGTATTCCCCACATAAAGCAAGTTGGTCGAGACTCATCCCATACATAGCATAAGATAACGTGTCATCTTCCTCCATACCAAGTATACCATGTATAAACAGCCCCATGTGATCAAAATCATCGTCCGAATCATCGTCATAATCGGAATCAAGATAACTGAATGGATCATTGCTGCTCATCATATCTGCTATACAAACAACTTTGAAGTTCAAGTCTTCATCAATCGTTGCTCGGTCAACCAATGACATCATAGCTGCGTGGAGATCATCATACTGGAGATAAGCTCGGAGAGTTTTGGGGATATCGAGTTCGGAGACTTTTTGCTGAAAGCTTTTTAGAACAGTGAAGTCTTTTCCAGTGATAAGCCCCGTCATGACCTCAGAGCATTTTGATTGGCTGAGACTTTTACAGATGGCAATTCTTGCTTGGTTTTTCAAAGACATAGTCTCAGCATTTTTTTCACGGATCATTTCTATTTCAGTTTCTTTGAGAGTCTCCTGAGCTACATCCATGATCGTATCTTTGCAGTTGCCACAGCTTGTACTGAGTGCAATGGCAACAGAATCTGCCGATTGACATAGATTCTCCATGTGTTCATCCATTTCATCATCACTTCGGCACAAATCAAGACCATTATAACCTCCCTGTTGAAGACACATAAGCAATTGCTTGATTAATTTCTTCTCGTTAGTTGTAAATTTTTCGCCAGCATCACAGAGCTTGTGCAACATTCCGTAAAATGCATCAATCATATCAAACTCAGCACCATTCTCCATAAGGAATTTTGCAGCCAATGTGTTGTTGTTTTTCATAGCGATTATCAAAGCATTGTGCTTATCGTAACCATAACGATGTTTGATAGCCTCACGGACAGTGCAAGAAACAAGTTTTGCACCATTTTCTAGGAGATGTTTCATCGACATTATATCATTGGCTTCCGTTGCGTACATCAATGCCGTCATTCCATTTTCCGTCTCTCTATTCAAATCTGCGCCTCGTCCAATGAGAAAATCAACGCATTCTGGATGGCCATGTTCTGCTGCATACATAAGTGCTGTTTTATTTCCATCGCCTATGTTAGGTTGATCAATGTTTTTGCCGAGATTCAAACGGTTTTCTATTCTGGCTATATTGCCCTCGGATGCTGCTTCCCACATATTCTTCCCGTGCCAAGGCATTATGCAGATGTATGCTGAACTGAACACTGATGCCAATCTGAAAATACAATATTGAACAATGATTAAGAGATTTTATTGTTGACTCAATTGCTCCAAGTATTAAAATGTACAGAACAGGATTCATAAGTGGGTACCCTTTGACATTTTGGATTGTGAAACTCCATCAAACACAACAGTTCAGACTTTATTCGCCAGAGGGAAAACAAAATCTAAAAGATCTTTCTTTTTGTCAATTTCCAGTATTGCACAAAAAGCTTCCTTGTGATGTATGTTTCAATTTTAGTTCGCTGTTTTTCACAACTTTTTTCTTTACTTTTTTCATGACAGATCCGGCAGTCTTATTTCAATGCATCATTCAATTTCACCAATAAGTCAATAGCCAGACAATATAAATTAAACGGACAAATGTTTTTTCAGGGATATAACACATTTGCTAATAAATTGATAATCTTCCTTGATAACATGACTATATCATCAGTCATATGGAAGGGGGAGGGCATTGGGGGTGACCGCCCCCCCCCCCCCTTTCTCAGATTTATTTAGATTTCAAACCGAGCCTAGAACTGAAAGCTCTAGAGCTACAATTAAAATGAAAGTGTAATAATGACAGAAATGATACTATGTCAGTATCTAGTCTACATCAAGCAGATCTCATTTCTCGTGTTATATTTAATTCTATACCATGTATAGTTTCTCAGGAGCCCATACAGTATGTAAATAATTTGAAGAATAAGTGCAAAATGTATATTTTAGTCAAAGTCAAGTTAAGTTTTCTAAAAACACAACTTTTTCTTGTTTTATTATTGGGAATGTGCTGAGATTCAGAATGCACCAGAGAGGGTCTAAATTTGAAGATTTTCTGGTGGCATGCCCCCACACCCCCCTAGATTGCGCTGCAAGCTTTGCGTGTGGCGCTCTTCACGCACGACCCATCCATACCCAAAAGTCGACCCTCGGCAAATACTTCTGACGCTGTCACCTGTCTAGAAATTGTAACCTTGGGAATCAAAGGACCTATCGCATACTGGTAAATATGATGAATATCATACAAATTCTTATTTTTTAAGAACAAAGTTGTCAATGTCAATGAAATGATAAGGAATAAGACCTCAGTTGTAGAAATATCAAACTTTCAAAACCTGGAAACAAAAAAACAAGGAAGTCAATTTCTTTCGAGCGCTAGCCTTCCTAGTCCAACAACATTAGACCTAGCCTGGGCCTCGTTTCTTATCTGACATGTCTTATGGCCCCGGCTAGGTCTAACCTCCATGATCATTTTGCCCTTGATGCGTTAAGGACAGGGTGCATGTTGGGAAATTTTCTGCATTCCTCAATTGAGTCACATGTTATTTTTCAAACATGAATAACTCCTTCCCCACATTGTCTACATCTTCCAAGTTTTCACAAAGAGTGCACTTCTGTGCCTAGAAAAGCCTTGTGAGAAGGTTTATTTTGTAAAATGTATAAAAAATGAGAAAATTCAGTGAAAATTTTTTTGAAAATTTTCTGATTTTTTTCACTGAATTTTCTTGTTTTTTATACACTTTATCAAAACATTCTTCTCACAAGTCTTTTCTAGGCACATGAGTGCACTCTTTGTGCAAAACTGGAGGATATAGACAATGAAGGGAAGGAGTGATTCTTGTTTGAAAAATAACATGTGACTCAATTGAGGAATGCAGAAAATTTCCCATCATGCACCCTGACCTTAATTTAATCGTTCAGCAGGTTTCGACAAGCGGAACTAATTGAACCCTGAAACCATGGTCATATTACACAAAGAATGTGATTCAAGCATGCATACATACCTTATGAATACATACACACCATCCCGTATCCCCCTTAGACCCTTTTGATGCATAATTACGAAAATATTGGAGACCGGTTTGGAATATAACGAAAATGTCGGTCAGTTTCGGTAACATCGAAATTGCAAATCGTATCAGAAATTAACCGTCACCGCGGCACTGCATTTACAAACAGTAGGTTTGCAATTAATAACTATTTTGCGTGTATACACGCGCTATATAAATCAATCAAAGATACCTGTTATCCTCAAAATTTATCTTTTAATGCGAGTAATCGCGATAATAATTATCAATCTATTTGACAACAATTTCATTTCGCTAGTAGTTTAATTTTACGATCCGGGACACTCGGACGAACAGACACAATGACGGACATGCGGAAATGTCATTTTAGAGATCGGTAAGTGTAGCCTCATTTTACGAGTATAAATGAACATTTAACGCAATAATATTGTGTTAAATCGCTTGATGTTATGTGTTTTTATATTATTGTCAAGTATCAATTGCACGTTATCGCGGCAAAATGGTTTCGATGGATCCAGAACTTGCATCAAAGGAAAGAATAGCAAAGAGGTTAAACTCAATAACGGCCCCAAGAAAATTCCTAATCGTAAAGAACGCCGTTATTGAGTTTAAGGACAGGGTGCATGTTGGGAAATTTTCTGCATTCCTCAATTGAGTCACATGTTATTTTTCAAACATGAATAACTCCTTCCCCACATTGTCTACATCTTCCAAGTTTGCAAAAAGAGTGCACTTCTGTGCCTAGAAAAGCCTTGTGAGAAGGTTTGTTTTGTAAAATGTATAAAAAATGAGAAAATTCAGTGAAAAAAATTTCTGAAAATTTTCTGATTTTTTTCACTGAATTTTCTTGTTTTTTATACATTTTATCAAAACATTCTTCTCACAAGTCTTTTCTAGGCATATAAGTGCACTCTTTGTGCAAAACTGGAAGATATAGACAATGAAGGGAAGGAGTGATTCTTGTTTGAAAAATAACATGTGGCTCAATTGAGGAATGCAGAAAATGTCCCATCATGCACCCTGACCTTAACGACGTTGAACTATAGCCTTTCTAACTTGTTGTTTTTTCTATTGAGTATTTCCAAAACACAATTTTGCTCACTATTAGCGGTATGTAAAGTATTCATGAGAACAAGTCTCAAGAGCCTCAAGAACATAAGCTTACTTGTGACTTTAATGACGTCATATGTGTTAAAAAAGTCCGGGAAAATGTAAGACATTTCACATCAATAATAAGGATGATACAAGACTTTAAAGAAGCATACATGTAAGTTTATCAGAATAAAATATATTTATTTTATTAGATACACAAGTATATACCCACCAAGTTCTGATTCAACTGCAGAATCGTCGAATAATAGAGCGAGGAAACTTTTCAGAACTTTTGAAGCGAACGCTTACAAATGACGTATTGCCTATATCACGAAAATACCCAAATCAACCATCACTGTACAATATCATTGTACAATGCAAATTCATATTCATAATATTGAATGAAAATCTTGTAATTAGTGAAACAAGAAACGAATTTGAAAAACAACGAAAATTTATTTCCAATTTCATTATCTTTTACATAAATGTCAAATTTCGTGATAGTAAATTGCGTCCACCAAATGTTCCAAAAAACAAAAAAAATAATTTCACTTATTTTTTCTTCAATTGGTAAGTGTATCAGCTATTTCATACATTTTACTAGCAACCTATTCAATAATAAGGTGAACGTCTACCTATGTTTTATAGTGAATAAGTGAATTTTGCATAAGAATAAGGGATATTGAATTAAAATATGAAAGTGACATATTATCGCCCACGTGAGAAAAATTAATTTCAAGTAGATCTAGTCTAGCCTAACAGAAGTTTAGTTAGACTAAAAGACTGAAGGTGCATTAATGTACCTCTGGGTCTTTATTTATATATTTGAGATTCGTCACTGACCCAGAGATGCATTTGCAGCCATGTTATTTTTGCATATGTTCAAAGTCTAAAAAAAACTCAAAATCTGAAGTTTTGCTTTTTGTACTAGCTCTTTACCTAATCTAAAAAATTCTTGCATAGGCTAAGGACACTGCTTGGCTTCAAAATTGTATTGGTTTTACTCGGGTAAATCCATATAGGTCCCTAGAACATGTATAAAAATCGAGTCAAGTTCCCTAAGAAAACAGATCTTTTTTCATACAGAAATATAATACACTATCATCTTGATATCATATCAAAAGTCTTGTATGCTAATTACGAGAAGTGGCACTATTGAAGAATTTGAAATAATTTCAACAAATCGTGATTTTTCTACATATTTGTGCAACTACATTGTGTACAATAGCTAATGTATTATATTGTTTAGTTTATTTCAAACAAATAAAAGGCCTCAGGCCACTAGTTTTACAAATATAACAATACATGTTTACATCAATTTAGTAGCTCCTGCCTTAAATTAAATGCTTTATAGCAGAAAGTAGCTAAGTTACATAAATCATTTACACCTTTTGTAGACATTAAATTAATAAACTTTTGATGTGATGGTAAAATATAATAATACCTTTTGATGTACTCTTCCCTTAGATCAATAAATGACGGGCAGATTAAAATAAAATGAAATTCATCCTCCAGAATATGTGTACCTTGGTATAATTCACAAAGAGGGCATATGCGATCCTCTTTTGGCATATTTTGATGCCTACCAATTTCAATTTTCAGTTTATGATTGGAACATCTCAGCCTTGTTAAAGCTCTTCTATATTTTACAATATTTACAACTGATAAATATGTTTCGACTTCTAATATACTTTTAAAATCACTGTATGATTCCAATCTATTTGAAGCTAATAATGATCCTGACCATGCTTGTAAATTGACATCTTTTATTCTTTGCACAAAAATTTTAAGAAATAAGTTTTCATCTCCAACACTTTGGTTGGTATAAACAATTCCAAAGCCCATAGAACTCAATAAGGTTTTAACATGTGTTGCCCAAGTTATCCTACCACTTTGGTCTAATTGATATAACATTTTATAGGAAGCTTTCGGTAACCTTTCATCTGGCATTTTAAGAAGGTTTAACCAATATTTTATACAATGTTTCATATATACAATGTTTAAAGGATGCCTACCACATTCACCAAGTGCACATACATCATTTGCCTTTTCACCTAAACATAAAACATATTTACAGAACCGAACATGCTCTCTTTCAATAATATCAGAATATTCATACCCCCAAACTCCACTGCCGTAACATAAAATAGGAACAATAGTTTTGTCAAATATTTCAAAGGCTAGTTGTATTGGTAAATCACCACATCTCACTCTGATTTTTTTAATGTTGAAAATTGCCTTTCTAGCTTGCGATGCTAAATTTCTTTTAGCTGGTGACCAACTTAACCTTGAAGAAAATAATAAGCCCAGGTATTTATAGTATGGTGTAGTTTCTACTTTAGTATTTCCAAGGTGCCACATCTCATTTTTTCTAAGAACACCCCCATTTCGACATACCATTATTTTTGTTTTGCCTAAATTAACTTTCATACCCCAGTTTTGACAAAACTGCTCAAGAATTCTGATTTGACCTTGCAATCTACCAACAGTATCAGAGACATTGGCTATATCATCAGCATATAGCAGCATAACAACATTATTATGATTTTCATTTACATATATTCCATTACAATTTGCTTTCATCATTGATATTAACTGATTTAAATACAAAATGAATAGCTGTGGGCTGAGCATACAGCCCTGTCGTGTGCCAACAGAACATGCAAAATACTCTGTTAATGTGTTAGAAAATGTCTCAGAAGATTTTGGAACTCTTACACATGACCTTAACTTTTCATACATAGATCTAATCACCTTTATGGTATTACCATGCATATTACAGTTTTTAATCAATTGATACCATAATAAATCATGAGAAATCGAATCAAATGCCTTACTAAAATCTACATACAGAATATAACAACGCCCTCCTTTCTTAGATAAATACTTTTGTACAATAGCAGATAAATTAAAAATTTGATCAACAGTACTGTATCCAGTTCTGTACCCTGCTTGTTCTTCATAAAATAAGCCATTATCGATACAAAATTGAAGTATCCTGTTGTTAATCACTTTTGTATAGACCTTACCTAAAATGCTTAATAATGAAATACCCCTAAAATTGTTTTCATCATCTTTATAACCACCTTTATACAATGTACATAAAATTGCATCACACCAACTTTGTGGGTAATCACAATCAAACAGTATTTTGTTAAATAATTTAACAAGTCTTGGTGTGACCTTATTGCTACATTTCTTTAACATTTCATTTACAAGATCATCATTTGCACAGGATTTTCCATTTGGTAACAATTTTATGCAGTTATATATTTCATCAAATGTAAATTCTTTATTCATAATTTCAGGTTCATTTTGAATACAAGCGTTACAGTGATCATCATGATTTGCTAAGAATCTTTGTACCATATCAATTTGCTCCTGCTTGACATCTAATTGCTTGTTGAGCAATGATTTAAAGAAAAAGTATTAAAAGAAATCATCTCCAAAGTAGTGTCAGGTTCAAGATTTCTATTTTTCCTGAGATTTGGTCAAGTTAGTATGGGACCATTCCCTTCTCTAGTTTAAAGTCACAAGCTACGACAGTCAAGTCATTAGAGGAGGGGCAGCCCATCTAAAAAGCCTGTTGTTTGATCAAAGGTGTATTGGCTCATTTGATAAATTCACAATACTGAACAAGTGTGGAACGCAGTAGTTTCGACCTGTCAAGTTAGTTAATAGACAAAATTAATGAGATATGAAAGATGAAGGGTCTCATTTCCTTCATACCATTGATTGCTAACAAAATGCCACAGAATATTTATTTTATCTTTTTGTATTTTAGGAAGAAGAATTGAACGATAGATGGCAGCAGGTGTCTGGGATAAAGTAACCTTTATGCAACAGGTAGTTCTTTGAATACTACATGCACAATACCTAGGGATTTGTCGTTGCGTGTGTGTAGTACGTCTGGGATAAGTGCACTTCCTCAGGTCATAACTAATGATTATTGTACATTGGATAATAAGATATATGTTTGCTTGCGCAGCTCACTGCACTAAAGGAATCATAACTTCCCAGATATTGTTTTCCCTTGTCCCCCACACATCCAAAATGAAGTTTAGATTGAACTCACCAAGTCAAAATACGGACAAGTTTCTATATACAATAATTCCCTCTGACATCATCGCATAATTATTGAAGATGCATTTAGCGTCTGTTCCTTCCAGCTCCCTGATTTTAGAGAAAAGAGCAGCATGGTATGTTTGAAATGATTTATGACCTGGGCTGTGACGGCCATAGGTCATGGGGGTGGGGCTTCTTAACTGTAATATAGTGTATACTAGACAGAGGGTAGTTTATAACTAGACTCTGGGCTCAGAGTATTCCTCAAAGGAAGATAATTTAGCGCATTTGACTATTTTCAGCTGGTACTGTTGAACAAAGCAACTAGCGATGATGAATCCCCAACTCCAGGATACCTTTACAGGGACATCATAGCCCTTACGTTCAAGTCCAGTAGTTACTGCAATGAGCTCATTGAATTTCTTGTGCAGCGTATGGATGAAGGCTCGTTCCATGTAAAACTGAAGGTAAGTTGAGTCAATCAAAATTAGATAATAAATGTCTTTGCTTAACAGTGTAGATCTTTTCACTGGATTTGAACCTTCGGTCTATTTTTTCTAAAAATAATGTATATCCTTAGGAATGTACATTTGTTTAGTACCCAACAAGTTGAAAAAATAATAGCCTATTATGTGACCCACTATCCTTGATTTTTGAATATCCAGTGGAAAAAAATGGTTTTAATATACTTGCATGGTTAGAAATTTGTGACATTTATATCACATGTTTATCAACTGAAAAGTGGATATTGGAAAATGGTCACTCTTTTTTGATTTATAGGTTCTTAAAATCCTTCAGCTGACCTTGGAGAAAGGTCACCCAGAGTTCAAGCAAGGGTTACGGCGGAGGTCAAAATGTTTACAAGAAGCTACAGTCTACAATGGCCCTCCCGATCCACTTCACGGTAACACACCCTACATCATGATCAGAAACACTGCTAAGGTAAGCGCATCAAAGTAGAGGGTAGAGGGTGTCGCTATGATCTAAAAATAGGACGGGGAAATCGAGGCAAACTTGAGTTAAATGTTATCATCACAAGATTTCATTTTCCTAGGGTTGATTAAAATATGTTGTTAAATATTGTCTGTTTAAAACAATTGTTTTCCTGTTATGTGATTCACAGTTTACACTTCAGTTGAGGTATAAATTTTGCCTTTAGACGACTAGTACTTATTGAAGGATAAACAATTTTGATTGTGTATTTGTACTTTCAGCTTGCTTATTTTTAGCAGTTGAATTTCAGAATAGCATATGTATCTCCATAACCCTTTTGATATAAATACATATCCCAAATGAATAAAAAAAAATTGATTTTAGCTGGTGAATCAAATGCTGTTTGAGACAGATGCCCCAAAAACAACAGCACAATCTATGCAGCCTGTAGAGGGCATGGGCAGCTCGCAGGGCATTGGTAGCACACAGGGCATGGGTGGCTCACAAGTATCCTCAAATATGCAGGGCTTTGGCAACACACCTTTCACAGAGAGTAGGAATATTTTTAGACTCTTACATTTTATTTATTTCAAGATCTGCAAGATGCAAAACTTTTACAAAACCAAAACTAAAAACTGAATGATGAGACACTACAAGTAAAAGGGCAATACAAGAAAAGCAAAGTGAAAATACAACTCCAACAAACAATATGAACCCACAAATCCAATGAACAAAGAATAATTTGATATTTAAAATGTTCTATACATATTATTATCTTTATTTCCTGAACACCCTGTATATTTTCTATAACATACTTCAGACATTTATAAAAAAGAGTCTGTATTTTGATGCATTTGATTATAAAACCACTTATATTCACATGTTCACAAAATTACCCATAAGCAAAATTCAAATGCTAGCGAAAATAAGTTGCTAAATATAGATTTGAAATATTTTGTTGGCAGAGATAAGTTTAGCCAGACATATCAAAGATATTTCTTTTTTTTAAATTAATCACGATATCAATTACATTTTTCTGTTGACCAGATTTTAGATTTCGGGATTCCCCTAAAAATGGTGCCATGAAAATGAACCTGACAGAATTAAACATTGTTTTTTTTAGAAAGTTTGGGTGACTCAATCATCAGTGGAATGCTTGACCTTGCGGAAAAAGTCCTAGAACCAAGTAGAGATCAGCCAAACCCAGCACTTGTTGCGTTAGATAAACACTTTGGAGGTCAATACAAACCCATCACTATGGCAACTGATGATGATCATGATGACATCAAGATTGGGGATCAGTCATTTTCTGTCAATCATACACGATCTGTCGCAGGTAAGATTAATAATAATATGTTTCAACTGTTCAGATTAAGGAATCTTACAGTGCTCTGGTGACTCAGTGAAAACTGTTCTTCAAGTCTATTAGTTTATATTAATGCCCCTCATTGAAACATTTTATAAATGCATTTGTAATAAAGAAAGCAATCCTTTCAGTGATTATGCTGCCAGTAATGTTGATTTTTAAATTCATTGTTTACTTATTGTCTAGCTCACAGGCCTGGAGTTGCAGGAGGGGGCTGGGATGATGCGCCTATGGCAACATTTACCAAAACCACTGGGTCTTCAAATAAAAGTACAAACAGCCTTGAAGACAGGTAGAGGATTTTAATATATGAACAGGATATTAAGTGGGATGGAATATGGAATTTATCTGACAGGGTAGATCTGGAAATTCACAAGGAAAGGCTGGATAAATTATTGAATATCCCGATATGTTTTTGAGGGAAACATTTGGGGTACTTTTTCAAATTTGCATCCACTGTTTTAAAATGTTAGCCCATATACTGTATAAGTGGTAATTTTGCCTAATCATTTAACTTGCCTATTTCCTAATTTTTGCCAGGTTCGGAAAATTAAATGTCAGAGATATATTTTTTATAATGTTATCCAATGGGAGGTTTCTTGTCATTAGGAAAATTAAAATTAGGAAAATGATGAAATTTGACCATTCAGAAAATTAACCACTCGGATTAAATACCACTTATACAGTATTCAACAATGCCCACTTTGAAAAAGGAGTTCCAAAGGTTTATTTTCAAACCCAAAATGAATTTAAAATTAAATTAAGTGTGTCAAACTCCCATGAAAGAATATCCAGATAATTACTCGGCTGTTTTTCTAAAAAGTGATAAGCAATCAAAGTGCTCCATATTTTACTTATGTTTGATGTATTTGCCAGATTAGAGACTGCCAGTCAGGAGGATTGGAGCAGTGAGTTAGACCTGGTGAATTCCATAGTGGTCGATCAACAAACTCCAATACCCTCCAGAATACAGCTGCAGAATTTCATACTCAGGTAGGTCTTATTGGCTTTCAACTTTTCAAAAGAATACTCATATTAACTCATATTTTTACATACAGTACATTCAATATATATATATCATGTACTCAAATGCCTCAAAATTAATGTTTTCATTAAAACTACTCATATTTTTCTTATTTTGTTTTACAGATGCGCCTCTTTAAACTGTGATAAGGTGCTAGAATTCATCAACTTAAACTTGCAGAAGAGTGACAAAGTAAACACCATAATGGTATGTGAACTGTGACATCACAATTGTTGGTATTATGACATCTTAATTACTCCAATATCATAATCCTTTATATTATAACAGTATAACGGTACATTTAGATTTATTAACTTTATTACACATTCTAGTACATAGCCATTGTGTTAAAAAGCACATTTGATGAAAATAGATAATTATAAAACTAAATTTACCAAATATTTTTGATTCCAGCGATTTTTATTGCTACTCGAACAGTTGACGAGGTCTGACTTGACTACACTAGTGTTTCTCAAAATATACTAAACATGTTTGATTTCAGCGATGTTTATTGCTACTCGAACAGTTGATGAGGTCTGACTTGACTACCCAAGAGAGTTTCTCAAAATATACTAAGCATGTTTGATTTCAGCGATGCTTATTGCTACTCGAACAGTTGATGAGGTCTGACTTGACTACCCCAGAGAGACTCTCAATGGTCTTCCATAGCAACCTCATTATACTTTACTCTCACAAGCAAAGGCCCATTCAAGCTAAAACTAAGAAGGTAAAAGTACAACTTTGTCCGAATATACAGGGTGATCACTATTTTACATATGTTTGGTCTTTTAAACCTAAACTTAAATATGCAAACAGGGTGTTCGATTAAACTTTGAATATACATGTATATACAGGGTGATCTAGTTAACTTTGAGTAAGAAGGTAAAACTAAAACTTTAATAGTTTTTTTTATTAAACATTGAATATACAGTTGGGGACAAAAATAAATGACAGGTCGATTTTCGATCACCATTTCCTAATTATGGTGTTCTGAAAGCCCATAATTTCCACTATTGTCTAGATACATATCCCTTAAAATTTGTATATTTTACATTTTGTATAATCTCATCCACTGATTTATGGCCTCTTGTAAATTCTCTTATTTTTAACATGGGAAATCCTCACTTCAGCAAATCCACATGTCATTTATTTATGTCCCCAACTGTATGTATACAAGGTGATCTATTAAACTTCTGTTACATGTACAGGGTGGTAATATGAGATGTTCCATTTATCCAAATCAATCTTAATTTGTCATGCAAATGCAGCATCTTGGTGTCACTTCAAAATCATTTTTCAGCTTGGAGAGTGAAAATACAGGGTGGTCAAAAAACCGGAAACCCTGCATTTTCCTCATATCTTTGTCATTTTAAGAAATTACTCCCTGATATTTCACACATTTGTAAATCAATCAATTTTCTACTACCCTACCACATTTCATGACCATCTATTGACAGTCTCAAGAACATTCTCTTATTATTTTTATTACAGATTATACTGCTCTTGAAGAAGTTGACTCCTGGGTCTACATTATTTGATGATATCCTAAATATTGCAAAACCAGAAATATCCATGACAACCGATACTGAAACCATAGCAACAGAAGAAAACTGTTTAGATTCTGTAACTATAGAAGCAAATGAAACACACAATATGGATGCAATACAGTCAAGTAAAACACTTAGTGCAAATACAGCTCAAACTGAATCAATTCTCCAAGATCTCTCTAATGGTCAAAACGCTGAGTTCAACAGTTTTAATAACATGTTGATATCGTCAAACTCTACCCTTGCTCAAGATGATCGATCCCATGCAGATGCAGAGAATGACCAGGGATCTAATGAGATTACATCTAGTCCCCAGAGTGCAATAGAACATGAGAGAAATACCATTAAACAAAGAGAAGGCTCTCATGATAGTATTTCCTCTGTGGATAGTCTAGAACAAACGTGACCATTTGTCTTTTTATGGGCAATCAATGTATTTCTTCACATTTGTTCAAATATGCTTGCCTCATATCATTAAAATGATTTAGTTTAGTTTAGTTTTTTTATTGTTATTTACAGTGGTAAGTTTACATCATTTAATACAATACAAAAGAAAAGTAATTAAATAACAACCCAGCCCACATGGGCTTATCAACCACTAAAGTAAAAGATATTTGTTTATAAATATTACATCTTTTTGACACAAGTATAATTCATTTAATATTGTAAATTGCATTTCTTCTTTTAAAATAGCAAAATTGTAACAAAATGAGCAGCTTGCCGAGGCATTTTTTCAAATAAATACTTTAACTTAAGTTCTACAGTTGATTGTCTTTCTTCAAAAATTTGATGATTTTGTAAATATTTTTCCCTTACTTCTTTATAAAATGTGCAATGAAAGAGAAAATGTTCCTCATCCTCAATGTTGCCAGATTTACATAAAGTACATTTTCTATTTTCCTATTTTTCATTTCTAAATCTACCTGTTTCAATTTCGAGTGGCAAAATTCCCATGCGTAATTGTGCGATTAGAGATCTTTCTAACTTAGATAAATTTAGCAATAAATATGACTCAGTTTTGTATGAGGATTTGAATTTTACATATGTTCTTAATTTTGGTTTCTTGTGAATTAAATCATTCCAAGCTTTGTTATAATGTATGTAGAAGTTTCTTTTTGACATTTTTTATATAACAATACTCTAAATTCTCAAAATTATCTTGACAGCCACATCTATTTAAAATTTTTTGGAGCTCTTGACTCCATTTACTATTTACAATTCTATCCCATTTAAATATTTGTTTTGTAATTCTATTATCGGACATCATTATTATTCTATTAAAGGTTCAAATAATTTCCAAATCTTTTTCAATTTCTAAGGGAGTCCAAGCAAAATCACCATGCGATGCATCAAGTGGTACAAATTTATGAACTCCTGCAAAATATCGTTGGGCTCTATTTAGTACATTAGTGCTAACTGATGAACAGGCTAAGCAGTTTTTAAGAAAATAGTGTTTAAATATTTTGTGAAAAGTGAAAAAGTTTATACCAGGCATTGGACAGACTGGGAATTCAGTTGTCATTGTCTCAGGGAGGTTGTGTGAGGGTTTTTAGTATTAATATGCTTTTTTTTTTTTTTTTTGAAAAATGTTTCATGCCATTGTCAGCTTAATTTATATATATAAATAAATTAGGACTTCACACATCAGCCATCAAGTTTTGTTGTTTTCAGAAAAGAATGTATGTGTCCGAGTTTGTTCAAAGTCTGATTTTGCCAGAGAAGTAGTGCTACTATTCAAAGTCTCATTTTGTCAGAGAAGTAGTGCTACTATTCAAAGTCTCATTTTGTCAGAGAAGTAGTGCTACTATACAGTCTCATTTTGTCAGAGAAGTAGTGCTACTATTCAAAGTCTCATTTTGTCAGAGAAGTAGTGCTACTATTCAAAGTCTCATTTTGTCAGAGAAGTAGTGCTACTATTCAATGATCTCATTGTTAGTTTTCCTCATGAGAAAATATGGAAAAAGGAAATACGGTAATATGAAAATATTGTTTGGAATGTCTTATATGCGAAAACAATGACAGCAGTATAGACCAATTAGAAATCTAGATTCCAAACATGTGTTATAATCCATATTCGAACATGACTGTATTCACGCCTTCTATAAACTGTAAACAAAGTCAACATTTCACCCGGGGTATATTCGCGAAGAATACCCCTGGTAATACGTGTTATGTGTCACGTCATAACGGCGGGTCGTAGTAATGGTGGACCATAATGAATATTCGAAACATTTTGGTGAGTTTTCATGTTCGAATTGTAATATAGACCTCAGAGCAGGGGTAATATTGTCGAATACACCCCTTAGGGCTAGGCACAAAAGCTTTTCGAAAATGTTTGTGCCTAACCCTGTGGGGTTTATTCGACAATATATTACACCTACTCTTCGGTATATATTTCTTAAATACAATCATCTGACAACCTGTGACCTCATCAGATTGATCAATTTTCCAATCTAGGGAGCCTATTATAAGGGGATAGATCAAAAATAAGAGAAACTGTTTATCTTTACATGAAAGACATTGGATCTTAGTGGAGGGCAATCTCCTGGGTAGGTCAATTTTTGTGATAATGAGATATTGACTTTTATATTATAGAATTATAGTTAACAATTGAATCGATTTCTATATTACACATTGATTGAATACATCTGTCTTTGAAGCAGCCAGAATGTCTCTGTGTCTGAAGCAGCCAGTAAAATTACCAGCCAATAAATCTATAACTGTACCAAGACCACAGAAAGTTGCACAACTACGGTAGGAACAGTCTCAAGTCAATATTTATGTATGATTAGATCATTCTGTAAGCTAGTATTCATAAATAAACATTCTTTAGTGACAGACAATAAGTTATTTTAACTCGTTAACTAGTCTATTGCAATCAAGTAACATTCACAGAACAATATAATATAACATAATATAATATACAGTAAAACCTGTCTTAGTGAACACCTCTCTCTAGATCTAGAGAACATCTTTGTCTAGTGAACACCCCTTCCCAGCACATACTTCAATGAGTCCTGTATAAAATGGCCTCTGCAGTGAACACCTACCTACAGTGAACACTTTTTGTGCCTCCATAGGTGTTTGCTGTACACAGGTTTTACTGTTAGTGTATATAGAAGGAGAAAATATGTCATATCATTGGTACATTGAGGGAGCTACTGCAGCCTGCAATTAGCATTCACAAATAAATCCCTTTAAAGATGAACAGGATGTGTCACACCAATTGTAATTCTGATGATATCACATTCTTGGGTACATTAAGGGAGCTACTGCGGCCTGCGATTAGCATTCACAAATAAATCCCTTTAAAGATGAACAGGATGTGTCACACCAATTGTAATTCTGATGATAACACATTCTTGGGTACATTAAGGGAGCTACTGCGGCCTGCAATTAGCATTCACAAATAAATCCCTTTAAATATGAACAGGATGTGTCACACCAATTGTAATTCTGATGATAACACATTCTTGGGTACATTAAGGGAGCTACTGCGGCCTGCAATTAGCATTCACAAATAAATCCCTTTAAAGATGAACAGGATGTGTCACACCAATTGTAATTCTGATGATAACACATTCTTGGGTACATTAAGGGAGCTACTGCGGCCTGCAATTAGCATTCACAAATAAATCCCTTTAAAGATGAACAAGATGTGTCACACCAATCGTAATTCTGATGATAACACATCATAACACATTCTTGGCCATCTCCAGTATAAGGCTCATCAGGTGCCCAAGATAAGTATGTTGGAGTTTCTCCAGTTGTTGACCACACCCAGGTCTGTGAGTCGGCTCTTTTATTAAGGCCAATAGAGTAGGACACAGTACCTGAAAGTATAATAGAGATACAATTTGGCATTCATCTGTCTCTATAGTCTTGCTGCAGGGGTGGATCTGGGAACAAACAAGGGGGGGGGGCAAATTTCTGGTTTGAGAAAACAACCTTTGGGCCCCTATTAAAAACCCCAAAAATTTGAAATGCCCCCCCCCCCCCAGATCCGCCATTGTGCTGTGGACTACTTCACCAACACAATACATGGAGTAGGGGGGAGGGGGGGGACACAAGTGCTTGTAGCTGGTCAACTGTCCCTATAGAATTGCAGATAGTTTCAGTTTTATAAACACACTATTGGTAATATCTGATTTTATTTGGAAAATATATTATATTTGAAAACTCAAAGGGTTTTGATCATGGACCTCAATTTAGGGGATTGAGGTCCATGATTTTACTGAAAAACTGAAAAAGCTATGTTATCAAAATATTCTATTGCCTTACTCTGGCCATTATTCTGTAAGTAGGTCTGCAAGTCTGCTTGTTCACTCGCATCCTCTATGGTAGCGAGAGTTCCCCCATACTCACGGCATCTAATCTGGGCATCTGTCCAAGTCAAAGCTTCATGGTTGACACGATAGGTGGAGCCATTATGAATGGTAGTTAGAAAACTCCCGTCACATCCTTAAAATAGAACACTTCAAAATGAGTGACCACGATTCATCAAAATGAGTGACCACGATTCATCAAAATGAGTGACCACGATTCATCAAAATAAGTGACCACGATTCATCAAAATGGGTGACCACGATTCATCAAAATGAGTGACCACGATTCATCAAAATGAGTGACCACGATTCATCAGCATGTAATGAGATGAAAATAAGTAGAGATAAACATATTTTATAAAAATCAAATGATCACGTTGATTTTAAACTCTGACAATATTGGTCCTGCACAACTAATATAATAAACAGAGTAAATATTTAATATATATAAATTATATGTGTAACGGAAAAATTTTGCAAAGAGTCTGATTAAATAGTGGTTGAACGCATTGAAAAATGTTTATCAGTATACACTCACCAAGAGGCGTCATGAAATAATGAACAAAATCTGGGCTGCTTGTTTTTGTTCCTCTGCCTGAACCAAACAAATCACAATTCCATGTTGTTTCTGTCAGTTGTTCAATATTCGTTTGAGTGCATTTTGAATGTTTAACGCATTCATTATTGCAGTCCATGGCTGAAGAAGTTACGATGTTTTTTAAATGTCCAACTTCTGGTAGTATGTTGTCTGGTATGAATTGTTCATTGTTTACTATGTTGAACATTTTTTCTAAATAAGCAGAGCTTAAGCATTCGCTTATTAAAATGCATGTTGTCATGAAAATGATTCTGACCAAACTCTCTGTAATTTGTCCCATATTTAATGATTTATTTGTGATTCAAAAGTGTATGTAAAAACCACAACAATTGAACTTAAAGTCACATCATATCTAAAGCATCTTTCAAAAAAGCAATTTCTCTGTTATCAGAACAACTACTAGGTCTTACAAAATGCTAAGGCTCATAAGCCCCTTTTAGGTAATTGATTAACTGATTGTTCTTACACTCCCGATATTCTATGAAGGCTGCCAAGGCGACAACAAATCATTAATCTGTAAAGGAGTACAACAAAAAGAAAAAACAAGGCATTAACATGACAAAATGTCACCACCTAGTTGCTCACAATATTATTAGTTCAATCTTAAGTCAGATTTGAATTTCTGAGAACTTGGAGATGATTTTGAAAAAAAATTGGTCAATTTGAAGCATTGAGTTGAAAAATACCTTTTTTGACCCTGAGAAGGTCTTTGAAGGTGAAATCTCAAATCTAGTCAGATTTGAACTTCTCAAAACTTGTAGATAATTTTGAAAAAAATTTAAGTCAGTCGTTAAGTCATGGGAATTTTTAAGAATTTGTTATAGACGCCAACTGCCGATCACCAACCACCGATCGCCGTCACATTAAAACTGAGACCATAACAATATGTCACCACTTTTTGGTGGTGACAAAACAGGCCTGATATTAAACCTGATGTGATAAAAAATCTTATGTACTTTTACATTCATCATTCATTCAATCAATTCCATTGATATTTTTACATTTTGTCCCAGCATGTCAGGGTACAAAGTCGTTACATTGATAAATGTATTGATTTATCACAACCTGCTTTGGGAATGTCTTTGAAAAAGAATAAGTATTGATAACCAATACATCAATACACTATTTTCTCATATGACTAACAAAGATACAGCCATCTTTACCCCATGCAAGATATTGCCATCTTTCATCCTAAAAAGTCACACGTGCAAGATGAGATTTACTTGTGACATATATAAGAATGTGCCTATACATTGAAATAGGAGGGGTGGAATGTCATGTGAAGAATTAAATTGAAGGATGCCATTACTAATAATTTCAATACTTTATAATTATTACTTTATAGTAATGTATAGAGTGTTAACCCTTTCACGACGATAGGCTCCATATGGAACCCTATTATGTAATACCTTTTAGGACGATAGGCTCCTTTTGGCACCATTATTTTTATTTATATACATCAATGAAATGACAATATCTCCAGTTCTATTCAGTATTTTCACACCAAAGGAGTGGTATCGATATGGAGAACTGAATTCAACAATGTTTTTCTCTTAAACCAATCATTGAAAACATTCTGTAAAAATTAGTACCGTGGGTACTGGGCTCACATGGTCACATTTTTTGCTGATTTTTTGTTACAAAATATTTCAAGCCATCTGTCTCTCAGTCAATTAAAATGGCTGAAAAAAAAAACGGATATAATTTTTTGCCAATAATTTGTAACAAAATTATTTCATACATTCAACTACTCTTTACAGTGACATGGCTTTTTGCAAAACACCTGAAATTATTTGTAAAGCTAGGAAATGGGCCAAAATTGAATTTCGCGAGACAAAAATGGCGACCATTTTGAAATCAGGCAAGCTTTTGAACCAGGAGTCATAGGGGAGTTTTTTGTATTGATGTTGAACAAAAATAACTTAACATGGGAATCTTATCGACAGAGGGTTTAAGGTAAATGGTCCAAAAGTGGAATTTGGCGAGACAGATGGACAAATCAATGTTAACTAAAATGGCTGAAAATAAATAAATGGATATAATTTTTCGCTGATTTTTCGTAACAAAATTATTTCATACATCTACTCTTTACATTGACATGGATTTTTACAATGTAGGACACTTGAAATTATTTGTAAAGCTAGGAAATGGGTCAAAAGTGAATTTCGCGAGACAAAAATGGCGGCCATTTTGAAAATAGGCAAGCTTTTGAACCAGGAGTCATAGGGGAGTTTTCTGAATTGATGTTGAACAGAAATAACTTAAAACAGGAATCCTATCGACAGAGGTTTTAAAACGTGCCACAGAAAGTGGATTTCGCGAGTCAGATAGACAAATCAATGTTAACTAAAATGGCTGAAAATAAAAAAATGGATACAATTTTTCGCTGATTTTTTGTAACAAAATTATTTCATATATCTACCCTTTACATTGACATGGATTTTTACAATGTAGGACACCTGAAATTATTTGTAAAGCTAGGAAATGGGTCAAAAGTGAATTTCGCGAGACAAAAGTGACAGCCATTTTGAAAATAGCCGAGCTTTTGAACCAAGAGTCATAGGAGAGTTTTTTGTATTGATGTTGAACAAAAATAACTTAACATGGGAATCTTATCGACAGAGGATTTAAGGTAAATGGTCCAAAAGTGAATTTTGCGAGACAGATGGACAAATCAATGTTAACTAAAATGGCTGAAAATAAATAAATGGATATAATTTTTCGCTGATTTTTCGTAACAAAATTATTTCATACATCTACAATTTACTTTGCAATGGATTTCTACAATGTAGGACACTTGAAATTATATGTAAAGCTAGGAAATGGGTCAAAAGTGAATTTCGCGAGACAAAAATGGTGGCCATTTTGAAAATAGGCGAGCTTTTGAACCAGGAGTCATAGGGGAGTTTTCTGAATTCATGTTGAACAGAAATAACTTAAAACAGGAATCCTATCGACAGATGTTAGCTAGGAAATGGGCTAAAAGTGAATTTCGCGAGACAAAAGTGACGGCCATTTTGAAAATAGGCGAGCTTTCAAACCAGGAGTCATAGGGGGGTTTTCTGTATTGATGTTGAACAGAAATAACTTAAAACAGGAATCCTATCGACAGAGGTTTTAAAACGTGCCACTATTGTTGACGGACAGACGGACGGACAGACAGACAGACGGACGGACGGACGGACGGACAGACAGACGGACAAGTGAGTGATTGTAAAAGCTCACCATGTGAGCTAATAAAAAACACGGTATTTTATGTAATGTTGACTGATTGACAACAATTTAATGCGAAAATCATTTAGAAATATTTTATATAACAGTTTTTGTTAAAAACATTTTTTGTTTTTCTAGTGCAATTGTTTTTGCTCCTTTCTACCAATTCTTGAGAATGAAATAAAATGTCTTTCCGAACCTTGTTGGATCAAAATAGCATATACAACATGTTTTTAGACCTCTCAATATTATAGTTATACAAAGGAATTTTTGGTTGATTTTAAAAAAAAGTATTCAAAAAATTAAAACAAAATCCCTCCAAAATAGATAAAAATCAAGATAAACCTTTTATTTCATTAACAAGATACTTTTTTAAAATCAACCAAAATGTCCTTTGTATAATTACAATATTGAGAGACCTAAACATGTTGTGTTTATGTCGTTTTGTTCCAATGAGGTTCGGAAAGATGTTTTATTTCACTCTGGAAACATGATACCAAGAACAAAACAAGTGTTTGATGTTACCATTCAAAAGATGACCATTAAATTGACAATGTGTAAAATTTTCAGGATTTTTGGATGACTGGTTTAAGAGAAACTTGTGTTCAAAAAGTTCGCCATATCGATACCCATCCTTTTAACAAGTTGTTCTAATGTGATAATCCTTACTACAAATTGTATTTCAGTGATGAAATCCAAGGTATAGGTCCCGGGGCGGAGGTAATGAGTTTTCCCCTCAAAACTGCTCTTACTTATCCATCACAAGGGCCAACTTTTTCCTCTTATATTCACGTCGGAAAAGGGTTAAAGGACTGAAATTGCAATAAATTATAGAACTAATCATAATTCTTTTACATTTTTATGATAAACAAACAACAATAAAGCATTTCATTTCATGGCCTATGACATAATCAATTTGATATAGTTAGACATGAATTGAATTGTTGAGTTCAAAATACTTTAAAACCCCAAAAATGTGTAACTGATATTTATTTAATTTTGTCCAACAGAGAATGACTTTTGTCATCAAAATATAAACAAACAGATTATGTTTTTTCCTTCTTCTCATTGTTTATTTAGTTAGACATATATCCCAATTTTCTTAAAATTACAGTGCAGTTTTTCTCAATATAATTAATGTAGATAAATGCATAAATTTGTTGAAAAGCATTGGCACTAGGCACTTTTATGTCCAGTTTTTCCAATGTCAAATCAAATACCAGATCACAGCAAATATATTCATACCACAAGATTCATTCATTTTTGATCTATATACCTTGCATACCATATACACCATCTATTCATTTAAAAGTAATTTAAAACACCTTCTCATGCTGTTTTCTTCGAGTTTTTTTTCTCCCTATACAATTTACAAAAATATGCTTTGTAAAGTGTCTAATTCATTGTGTAACATTTTTCAATATTTTTCCTTTTTTGCATAGTGTCTGTTTACAGTATATGATGTTGCATAATTTTTCACATTTACACAAGCAAGCATTCCCCTATACATTCTCAGCTAAGCGAGGGGATGACCAAGAACTAATCTTCAACATCTTAATTTTATGCAAACTAATGTACTGTAGTTCAGTTTTAACATAATTTTGAAGTTCCCGTATAAGACTATATACTATTTGAGAGGCATAATATCGACTGAAATATCACAAATACAGAACTATACACATTGGCGGATTCAGAAGCTAACAAGGAGGGGGCCCATATCCCAGGTAAGAAAAAAAAGTTTTGTGCCCGTTAAATCAAAAATTGGACTCAAATTTTGAACATTTATGGCCCATTTTTGAAAATCTGACCCTTAAATTAAAAATAAGGCCTAAAAAGGCCAAGTAATGCCCAATAAGGCCCACTCATTGAGCCCCTACAAAATTTGGATCCCCCATTAATACAGAGACATCTGTATATCATGTAGCACCAGTCAAGTAAGAGCCAGTCAGAAAACCCTTTTAACAAAAAATGATATTTTAAGCTACAGCAGTATATCACCTTTTGTCTTTGTTTTGTAGCTGAAGTAACTTCTATCACATAATGAAAACAAGCCATTAACACAACAAACAGGTCACAACCTATCTATACTCAGTATTAGTGAGTAAAACTTGTATACATCCGTCCCTGAGGGGGGTTCATTATATATAAACCTTTACATGGATCCTCTGCGCAAATGGGGATACCTAGTTAAGTAATTAAACATATATCCTTATTTTGAGGTTGTTTTGGATCATTTTCCTCATAGATATTCTTCTCAGGGCCTTTTTCAATTTAAATATTAGCTTTTTTTCTACTTTGAACATTTGGTATGGCATTGATCCTATATTTAGACATTTGGTATGACATTAGTCTTATATCTGGACATTTGGTATGTCATTGGTCCTATATTTGGACATTTGGTATGGCTTTTAGACGTTTTTTGGTTGGTATGGGAACACATTGACAGATTGGTATCGTATGAATTGTGAATTAATCTGACCTTAGGTTCATATCCTAAATGTCCCTAATGTGTAAATAGAATCATGCCTGCCAATCCTTTTACTAGGAATTATCCTCCTTTTATTTGTAATTATCCTCCTTTCTTTAAGAATTATCCTCCTTTTATCAGGAATTATCCTCCTTTTATTAGGAATTATCCTCCTTTTATTAGGAATTATCCTCCTTTTATTTGTAATTATCCTCCTTTCATTTGTAATTATCCTCCTTTTAAATGTCTATTCCTTTAAGAGGTAGATTATTATTCATAATTATGAATTGCAAAACAATTCAATTTAATTGAATTTATAAGCTCATTTTTATAGTTCATGTAAAAATTTGGAGTATATAGAAAATATAAATTATATAATTCATAATTCACTCAAAATCGTGCAAATTGCCACACACTTAAAGTCACGTGGCTCAACCACTTTTTACAATTCCAATCCTAAAATGCTCCAAAATAAAAACTTCATGACTCGATCCATAAAAGGACTTTGATACATCCAAGTAGTTTTTCCAGATTCTAATTTTTTATACTACAATTTAAAATTTAATTCATATTAGTCCTTGCCAATCAAGAATCGTGTCATTTTTATTTTTTATTTGTTGGTTGAATCACTTTAAATCATTTGCACAATATAGTTAACCAATGTCTGTATACAAGTAATTAAAATAATTCAACTGTCCAATAAAACCTTTACCAACATCCTCTCCATCTGTCTTTTTTTTAAATTTTGGAATCAAAACAGGATGGATGTTTTTTTGGGATTTCTGTGTCTATGTGACTAAAAGTCCCCCTTCAATCGGCAGCAGGACTCCATTGAGCATAGCAGCTTGATCGCTGAGCAGATACAGCACAGTGTTTACAACATCTGATATCTCTGAAACAGTGAACAGATTATCCCATATAGACATCATAAAGAAATAAAAATCTGTATCACAAAATGATTTATACAAATTTTGAAATGAACACATGTATTTCAAACCCCCATTTAAGCCATGGTTTCATTGTTCCAAGATGGAACTTATTCAAACAAAATGCTATCAATTATGCCTCCTTTTGGATAATTCCCAACTATAGCACATAATACATTTAATTCAAAAAAATCTGATAATCCTTGGTCTTATAAGACATTCCAAACAGTAACAAAGTGGGGAATATAACAATGAATAATGAAACAAATATTTGGGATTTATTCACTTTTTAAATGTTTTGGAAAGGTGACTACTTTCAAAATAATGCCCATGGGTTTTTACAAGGAAAAAAAACAGGGTACTTTTTAACATCATTTTTTTTTACTTGACCATACCTACCTGCAAATCTCTTCAATGGGGTGCGCTCTTTCATAGGTTTACCTTCCTCCCCTCCCCAATGTTCTCGTCCCATATCAGTCATCACAATACCAGGATTGACGCAATTTGTACGAATCTGGAAATATAACAAGTCAAAACAGTTTTGTTAAGTTGCATCTTATGTTGACCCCTAGGGTATTTCTTAATCAAGCAAATCTTAAGAAGACTTATGTCATTCTTATAGATCAAACCATCCTAATTAGCGAGAGAAGGTATTTATAGATTACACCATTGAAATTGTTCCCGGACTTCTATCCTCTATAGAATTTCTTGAATAGGCCTATCCTTTGGTGGCTAATTTCTAAGATGTAATAAATAATTTGATTTATTCCTATTGGTGATTTTCAGTACACAGTTACTGTAGCATCCATTGCAACAATTTATTCATTTAATTATATACTCATTTAACAGTAAGTGGCATTCTTATAATGAGATGCATCTACAGTAAGTTATACACATCTTATACATAGTGAGGTTAAAAACACGCGTAGTTCTATCAAACTAAGATAAGTCTAATTGTATTCAACCATTCTCTCAAATTCTTATATTCAATCATTATCATTAATGTTTTTGTTCAATCACTCTATCAAATTTTTGAATCAATTCACTCTTTCAAATTTTTATTTGCTTTTTTTGTTGATTAGAATGTTAATGTGACCTGTGCAATGAAATGGTCATACATAATCTATCTAAAAAGATTAGCACAACTTTATGTAGTTTTTGTCTGAGACAAAAATTCTGTCTTTCAACATCCTTTTAGCTCTAACTTACAAAGATTAATGAAATGTCTTTTTTGTCTTGATACAAAATCAAATGTCAATGCTAATATAACAGATCACTTGTTGAATACCGAAGTAATATTACGACAGGAAATTGACCGGAGATGGACTTCGGGAGGAGATTAATGATTAATCACATAAAGCTCATCGATCATCTTAATGAGACAAGCCAAATAACAAATATGTCCAAAAATATAATGGAAATAAATAATACCATTCAGTAAAACCTGTATATCTGAACCCCTCTGGTTAGATCTGAACACCTGCTCTGGTTAGATCTGAACACCTGCTCTGGTTAGATCTGAACACCTGCTCTGGTTAGATCTGAACACCTGCTCTGGTTAGATCTGAGCATCTGCTCTGGTTAGATCTGAACACATGCTCTGGTTAAATCTGAACACCTGCTCTGGTTAGATCTGAACACCTGCTCTGGTTAGATCTGAACACCTGCTCTGGTTAGATCTGAACACCTGCTCTGGTTAGATCTGAACACCTGCTCTTGTTAGATCTGAACACCACTGGTTTCAATTCAAATTCTTTGACTCAAATATTAAAAACACCTAAAATGTGAACACCTGCTAATCTGAACACTTTTGCCCAGTCCCAGTGGCATTAATATTAAACAGGTTTTACTGTACTAAAACAATAGCTAATCTTGTATATACCCTTTACCCCTAGGGTAAGAGATCAAGAGAAGATGGTTGTGGGGTATTTGATCTTGAATGCAAGACTCTAACAAGGCATTAACATGACAAAATGTCACCACCTAGTTGCTCACAATATTATGAGTTCAAACTTAATATAAGTCAGATTTGAATTTCTGAGAACTTGTAAAGTCAAATTTGAACTTCTGAAAAGATGTAGATGATTTTGAAAAAAAAATTTGGTCAATTTGAAGCAAGTTGAAAACAGACCTTTTTGACCTTTTTTGACCATGAGAAGGTCATTAAAGGTCAAATGTCAAATCTAAAGTCAGATTTGAATTTCTGAGAACATGTAGATGATTTTGAAAAAAAAAATTAGTCAATTTGAAGCAAGTTGAAAAAAGACCTTTTTGACCTTTTTTGACCTTGAGAAGGTCAAATGTCAAATCTAAAGTCAAATCTAAAGTCATATTTGAATTTCTGAGAACATGTAGAATGTAGATGATTTTGAAAAAAAATTTAGTCAATTTGAAGCAAGATGAAAAAATACCTTTTTGACCTTTTTTGACATTGAGAAGGTCATTGAAGGTCAAATGTCAAATCTAAAGTCAGATTTGAATTTCTGAGAACATGTAAATGATTTTGAAAAAAATTTTTAGTCAATTTGAAGCAAGTTGAAAACAGACCTTTTTTGACCTTGAGAAGGTCAAATGTCAAATCTAAAGTCAGATTTGAATTTCTGAGAACATGTAGATGATTTTGAAAAATTTTTTTAGTCAATTTGAAGCAAGTTGAAAAAAGACCTTTTTGACCTTTTTTGACTTTGAGAAGGTCATTGAAGGTCAAATGTCAAATCTTAAGTCAAATCTAAAGTCAGATTTGAATTTCTGAGAACACGAAGATGATTTTGAAAATTTTTTTTAGTCAATTTGAAGCAAGTTGAAAACAGACCTTTTTGACCTTGAGAAGGTCATTGAAGGTCAAATGTCAAATCTTAAGTCAAATCTTAAGTCAGATTTGAATTTCTGAGAACACGTAGATGATTTTGAAAAAAAAATTTAGTCAATTTGAAGCAAGTTGAAAACAGACCTTTTTTGACCTTGAGAAGGTCATTGAAGGTCAAATGTCAAATCTAAAGTCAGATTTGAATTTCTGAGAACATGTAGATGATTTTGAAAAAAAAATTTAGTCAATTTGAAGCAAGTTGAAAAAAGACCTTTTTGACCTTTTTTGACTTTGAGAAGGTCATTGAAGGTCAAATGTCAAATCTTAAGTCAAATCTAAAGTCAGATTTGAATTTCTGAGAACACGTAGATGATTTTGAATTTTTTTTTAGTCAATTTGAAGCAAGTTGAAAACAGACCTTTTTGACCTTTTTTGACCTTGAGAAGGTCAAATGTCAAATCTTAAGTCAAATCTTAGGTCAGATTTGAATTTCTGAGAACACGTAGATGATTTTGAAAAAAAAATTTAGTCAATTTGAAGCAAGTTGAAAACAGACCTTTTTGACCTTTTTTGACCTTGAGAAGGTCATTGAAGGTCAAATGTCAAATCTAAAGTCAGATTTGAAGGTCAAATGTCAAATCTAAAGTCAGATTTGAATTTCTGAGAACATGTAGATGATTTTGAAAAAAAATTTAGTCAATGTGAAGCAAGTTGAAAAAAGACCTTTTTGACCTTGAGAAGGTCATTGAAGGTCAAATGTCAAATCTAAAGTCAGATTTGAACTTCTGAGAACATGTAGATGATTTAGAAAAAAATTGAAGTCAGTCTAAACAGTATTTGTTAAGTTATAGGAAGTTGTAAGAAATTGTTACAGACGCCGGACGCCAACCACCAACCACCAACCGCCGGACGCCGTCGCAAAAAAACGGAGACCATAACAATATGTCACCACTTTTGGTGGTGACATAATAGCTTGAAGTGTTTTTTTGTTCACTGAATAAAAGGTTAAAATTTCTATAGGCAGGAGGGTCTTGGAAATCAAGAGGGAAGGGGGTCTAAAAAATGTTGGCCCTGATTTTGAAATTTTAGCCCCAATTTCTTAAAAAACATGTCCACTATTAAAAAATAATGCCTAGTTATGTCAGTTTGTTCTCTAAATTACCCAGGAGGAGCAGATTGGGGGGAGAGGCTGGCAAGTTAGTTTGCTTAACATGAGATCTCACTTTCTAATATATTCACCCTCTTACTAAGTAAGCCATTATACCAAGAGCAGGCTGACAGAATGATGACACCCCAAAGGCACCATTATGTATTATTAGTTATGTCAATGTAAACAAAGGAGAAAACCAATAGACAGTTTAATCATAACTGATCTAGTTACAAATTATCTGTGAGATTTCATCAAGGAGGTTCTCAATACTGATTAGACGCATCCAAAAACAACATCTTTTAATGAAGCATCACAAGTAGCTTCCGAAAATCAATACCTAATCAATCAAATTATCTGTTATGATCAGCTTTATCGACCCTGTAGAGTATACAGTGCTCGCCATAAATAAATGGCATCTTGATTTTCTATCACCATTCCCAGACCATGGTGATTTGAGACTTCATACTTTTCAATAATGTCTAGATACACATCCCTTAAGTTTTGTATATTTTACATTTTAATAATATAAACTGTACACCTGTTCGCTTTATTCCTTGCTGATTCCACTTTTTCCATCATTTATTCACATCTTAAACCATGACTAATTTGAGCTCAATGCCCACATAACATCATCTCCATGTTCCTAAACACTGAAATATAAAAGCAGGCCTGTCAACTGTCCCGCAATTTGCGTATATGTCACGCGAAAAATTTGAGGTGTTCAAAATTTGGCAAGATGCAATAAAATTTAAACCAAGGTGTTCAAAATTTGGATCAAGGTGTTCAGATTTGGACCAAGGTGTCCACATTTTGAGGGGAGGTGTTCAACATTTCCAAGTCACTCATGTTAGGTGTTCCCAAGTTGACAGGCCTGTAAAAGGGGATCACTGAGTAAGTGGAAACACTCAAATTAGAAGAATGTAATCCAGATTTTCATTTTCCAAGAAAAAGTCCATACATGTATATGGAAAGAGAAAAGTCCATATATGGTAATTGTTGATTAATAGCTGGTATGGCAATGCTGACTCAATTCCAAAACTGTTAATAGTTTAATGCAAAAAACAACTTTTGTAAAGATGTATAAGTAAATATGTGATTACAGTTTTTTCACATAAACATATTTCTATTTCAATGTATAAACTAAGCTGACTTTACTGAATGCTCAATAAGCCATTAGACAGACACTTGAAAAATCAAAACATAGTTTTGGGAAATAATTGGAATTATTGTACCATGAAGATATAGTGCCATAACATGCAGTTGTATCATTCTGAAACATCATTGATCGTAACATATTTGCCATTTCCAGTTATTTTCAAGGGAATTTTATCTAATATGGCATCAGTTGAAATAAAATGGCTATCAAGTTCATCATAGAAAGGCTAACTAAAGTGCATTTTATTGGAGGCTGTGACATTTAAATGCTAAAGCGTATTTAATAGAAAGGGCATTTGACGTGGATGTGGAATATGATGGCCTAAAAAGGGAGAAAAGGGCAAAAATGGTAAAAGTAGGGAATATGAACTCTAATCGCCAATTCATCACCGTACCATCCTATTAGTAACCAAAAAGTGGAGATTTTGAACATGCCATTATTGTATTACTGTTGTATTCATCTATGACCTAGTTACTAAATCAGAACTATCACAGAAACTAGATATCAAAACTGCAAGCATTCTTATTTTTTTTTAATTATGCAGATGGGACCCGGGAGATAAGATTTCTAAAAGTTCAAAGATGCTCTTCCTGTACCAGTTGTACTAATCCATGACCTTCTGGGGCTAAAATGATATAAAATAACTAGATATCAAAATTGAAACCATTCTTTTAGAGATTTAGAGATCTGAAATGCTTTTTTGAATTATGCAGATGGGATTTCACAATCTTCAAAGATGTCATAATTGTACCAAACAGTTGTACTCATCCATGAGCCTACTAACTAAATAAGGGCTATACTAATGTATAGAATGATATTTGAATTATAGCTTTCCCAGCATTTAAAGATGCAATAATTGAATCAGTTGTGGCTTCATTCTATAACTCACTTACAAACTGGAGCAATTCACCATCAAAATTACTTTCGCAATGTCCCATATATCATACCATACCCATTTTAATAAGGTTTTTAACAATAAATGATCTCTTGTCAAAATAATTATGAACTGAGATAACAACATCAATAATCATTTGTATAGGCTTACTATGATCTCAGTGATTTCAATCATAAAACCTTTTATTGAAAATATGCTAATCTAAGAATATTGGAGTCTAATATGTGGATTAATGTGTATTGCTGACAGTCAATTCTAGTATTAAATGATAAATCCAATAATTAATTTGTTAATTATAATTTTTACTGTTATTTCAACTTAGACTGTCTACGTAATAAATACTAGACTATAGTGAAAAATCATTAACTCTAGTGAAAATCAGTAGATCTCACTGAAATTCAGCATGATTCAGTGAAAAGCAGCATGATTCAGAGAAATTCACCACGATTCAGTGAAATGCAGCATGATTCAGTGAAATGCAGCATGATTCAGAGAAATTCAGCACGATTCAGTGAAATGCAGCATGATTCAGTGAAATGCAGCATGATTCAGTGAAATGAAGCATGATTCAGAGAAATTCACCACGATTCAGTGAAATGCAGCATGATTCAGTGAAATGCAGCATGATTCAGAGAAATTCAGCACAATTCAGTGAAATGCAGCATGATTCAGTGAAATGCAGCATGATTCAGTGAAATGAAGCATGATTCAGTGAAATGCAGCATGATTCAATGAAATGCAGCATGATTCAGTGAAATGCAGCACGATTCAGTGAAATGCAGCATGATTCAGTGAAATGCAGCACGGTTCAGTGAAATGCAGCATGATTCAGTGAAATTCAATATGATTCAATGAAATGAAGTATGGATCAGTGAAATGCAGCACGATTCAGTGAAATGCAGCATGATTCAGTGAAATTCATCACGTTTCAGTGAAATGCAGCATGATTCAGTGAAATGCAGCATGATTCAGTGAAATGCAGCACGGTTCAGTGAAATGCAGCACGACTCAGTGAAATGCAGCACGATTCAGTGAAATTCATCACGTTTCAGTGAAATTCATCACGTTTCAGTGAAATGCAGCATGATTCAGTGAAATGCAGCATGATTCACTGAAATGCAGCACGGTTCAGTGAAATGCAGCATGACTCAGTGAAATTCAGCACGGTTCAATGAAATGCAGCATGATTCAGTGAAATTCAGCACGGTTCAGTGAAATTCAGCACGGTTCAATGAAATGCAGCATGATTCAGTGAAATTCAGCATGATTCAGTGAAAATCAGCGAGATTCAGAGAAATTCATCATGTTTCAGTTTAATGCAGCATAATTCAGTGAAATGCAGCATGATTCAGTGAAATACAGTATGATTCAGTGAAAAGCAGCATTGTTTAGTGAAATACAGCATGATTCTGTGAAAAGCAGCATGATTCAGTGAAATGCAGCATGATTCAGTGAAATACAGCATGATGCAGGGAAATGCAGCACGATTCAGTGAAATGCAGCACAATTCAGTGAAATTCAGCATGATTCAGTGAAATACAGCATGATTCAGTGAAATGCAGCACGGTTCAGTGAAATGCAGCATAATTCAGTGAAATGCAGCACGATTCAGTGAAATGCAGCACGATTCAGTGCTCAGAGCAGTACTTTTAATGATTTAGCTAATTTCTAAGGATTGTAATATTGATTTTCACTTAGACTTGAAGTAACTCAACAATGCACATGAATGCTGAACTTTTGTTATTTCAAGAATTATTGATAGATCTTAATTCAACTGGAATAAACACTTTAACTAAATAAATTGATTTAATTCATTAGACAGGAAAATGATCCATTAGCCTAAGGCTGATATGAATGCTATCTTAAATTTTCCACTATCTGCACTATAAGCTATATGAGTTTGTTTGCTAGTTTGTTTGGTTGCTTGATTGTTTGTTTGTTCTTTGAGTAAATGTGATGTAACAAATATTTGAAGTTCAATATATCAGGTACCATATTCCCCATAGATGCAGTTTATTTACTTAGATTGTTCGACAAGAAATGCCAATCGTTACCTATTATAAACAAGGTAACATATTCCTTCCACTTGGTTAAGATTGACCAATCCCTAAACCTTACTTATCATGGATCAAAGAACGTAGAATCTCTGAGGCAATATGCTGCAACAGTATTCATTTAACAGATACCCTGCATGGAGATTATCATGTTTGATATTTAAACAGCAAAATAAAGTATAAAAGAGCTGAATAAACATAGAATAAAATACACCACTATGACGTAAATACTCTAAATTGTAAAGAAATGCAATAAAATCAGACATTTTATTCAAATTTTATAGAGAAATGACGCAAAATAAGTATTAGCAGACGGATATTTTCAGTCGTGGTTCCACACGCTCTGCAACCTAGATCAGGCTGATTACAATGAGCTGAATAGCTCAATCTGGCACAGAGTACACTGTATTGGCGAATAACACAACATCAGCATATCGAGATTAAAATTATCAGGTATTCTTTTTACAAAATTCAATATTGGGCTCTGGACTTGTGGTATAAACATCACAGGAGGCCATGCTTTGAAACATAAAACAGAGAGATTAACAGATGAGTCAATGAACAGTATTGAGATATAGTAAGAAATTACAAATCTATATGTATATATATAATGTATTAGATTTTCAAAGATTACTAATAGGAAAATGTATCTTCAGTAAAACCTGTGTGTTTGCAGAGAAAAAGGACTACTTTAGGTAAGTGTTCGCTAGCAAGGTTTTGCAATTTTGATTTTGTGTACCACATTTCACTGTCCTTAAAAGGATAATGTTTAAAAAAATATTTAATTTCTAGCCCAATTTTTTTCAGTTCATGTTTCTAGAAGAAATATTTATAAGAGATATATGTATCATTTTATTTATTTTAATCTGTTTTTCTAATTGATGGGAATAAAGTCAAAGCAGAGACATAAAACTTAAAGTGGCAGGAAAGACTTGAGTTTAAAATGGTGTAAGCAATCTTCAAATATGATGCCTGTATGTCCCTTATAACCAGGGCATGCCCTAAGGGCCGGTCATCTGGTCATTACCACATTACTTTTAATAATGACCAGGGATTAACAGAAACTTACTAAAATTACGAATTCGTAAATCAATTGTTGTAACCATGGATATAATGATGTCACAGTTAGAGAACAATGGGTTTTAAAAATTCTTAACTTTACGAAGCTTCTGTTAATGGCCCCCAGTTGATTTTTTCACAAGGTATAGGAAATTAACATTGCAACTGGTCAGTGGTGCCATTTTGACCAGTAGCTCACAAATCCTTAAGCCAGGGCATACACTGCTTATAACCCTGATTTTATTTTCTGAAAAATAAATTGAGATATCTGATAATATAAGCAAGATTTAAGATCCAGAAATATCAAAATTCATTAGAATTGATCTGACGTGGAATGAGGAAAGCAAAAGATATTGTAAAACTGTGACAATATTTTCAAAACTTGATCTCAACCTTCCTCTACTCTTTGTGTTTCTGACACATGCTCTCAACCTTCCTCTAGTCTTTGTAACCCCTTTAAGTAGAGTCTCACAGACAAAGCAACATCCTTGCTTATGCTTATGTAAGCAAAGCTTATTTAAAATTACAACTAGAGGCAATGTTTTTACACCTGTTTTGAAGAAACAGGATCTTATGGTTAAAAGGAAAACTTAATTAACAAGGAAGAGAAATCAGTCCATGGTATATTTTACACTGCAGGATTAAATTGCAGCATTATGAAGATATTGAGGGAGGATTTTGTGCTTTTGTAACACCTCAAAAATCCTTTGTAACAAACCTTTTTTGAGATCCTTTGTAACAACCAGCCTGCTTTGTAACTCATAGCAATGTTCACTTTCGGGAGGTGTTCATTAACAAAGATTTCACAGAAATTACAAAAATACCGGAAAATAAGCTATTAATTTAGAATACAAGAAAAATGAAGCTTCAGATTAAATAAGATATCACAATAACTACTTGTACATTTTATTTCAGGGAGCTCCAATTCAACATATTTTTCTGATGTATTCAAACAGTCACAAGTCAGGAATTTAAAATCAAGACCAAATGCATTAAAGAGGCCTAAAGGGAAATCATCACGCATTACACTTACTTCTATAATGATATCACTCCAATTAGAGTCAATTTTTACATGAAATTCCCGAGCAAACTATCCACATCAGGGTAATTATATTACCACCGAGAATAGGCCTGAATTATCCGGGATATAACGGGATAGCTATAATAATTTCCCTCTAATCTGAGTGATTCAGTGAGCAGCAGGCCCATCAAAAGAAATGATAATCGATTATGAAGTGTCAAATAAGGGACCATAAAGAACTGTAAAGGCACTTTATTGATGAGATGTGAAACCATTCAGTGTACGGAATACAAGAAGACACCATGCCTCACATAGGATGCTCCTTAGAAGATATAGGATTGCCAATTTCTTCAAATTAGGTAAGTTGGCTATTAGTCTTGCATTAAGCCCTTGTGAATGCCTTCCTCAGCATTGATATCTTATATTTGCCTTACCATTATAAGAGGTGAAGTAGCATTGGTGAAGCCATAAATGAGGCATGTGAGGCAACAGCCTCAACAAAATATTTCAGATATACGATATACATCGTACAATAAAACCTGTGTATATTGAACATTTTTGCAGAGTAAATCATTCAGTGTTCGGGCCCATAGTCAGCTTTTTCCAAGGGGTTCACTTTTCAGAAAAACTCCAGGGGGTGCACTTAAATAAATTTGGCCCAAAATCACATGAAAAATGCTCAGAATCATGAACAAGACACACAGTGATAAATATCGCACTTTGAAGAGCAAACTGGCCACCATGCAATTTACCCAGCATGGCCAAAACCTAATCAGACCTTGCCACTAGTCTGCTCTTGCATCTGTAAACATTTTAAGTTGACAAGGTTAGCGGTTTTCCTGCAATTTTGATGACAAGAATTTATTTGTAGTCTTGAACTTTGGGAAAATTTAGATAACATTGTTTGTGACCTAATTTGATGACCTTCGACCTTGAAAAAATTCAAAATGGTCACCATGTAATTCAGCCAGCATACCCAAAACCTAATCAGATCTTGGCAATAGTCTGCTCTTGCATCTGTAAAAATTTCAAGTTGAACGAATAAGTGGTTTTCCTGGAATTTTGATGACAAGATTTGTTGAAAAATTCAAAATGGCCACCACGTAGTTTACCCAGCATGCCCTTAACCTAATCAGATCTTGGTACTAGTCTGCTCTTGCATCTGTAAAAATTTCAAGTTGAACAGGTAAGCAGTTATCCTGGAAATTTGATGACAAGATTTGGTTTATGTGCCGCCCGCACGCCCGCCCGCCCGCCCGCACGCCCGCCCAACAGCACAAGACGACGACAATATAGCACTTTTTCAAAGTGCGATAAAAACTGCATGATTTTGAATAAGAAATTGGCCAAGGGTGGCCTGGTGTTTTTAGTTGTTCACTACACAGATAATAATTTATACAGAAGTCAGTAGAGTATGTACAGAGGAAGGAAGGGTGTTTACGAGAGACAGGTGTTCACTAGAGGTGTTTACTAAGACAGGTTTTACTGTATACTTTTCAGATGTTTTATTCAACTAAAATGAAATTTAAAAATGAAGTATAAAGGTAGTAAGTTACATACCTCCTTAAGCCTAAAGGATTGGTATCGATATGGAGAAATGAATTCAACAATTTTTTTCTCTCAAACCAATCATTGAAAACATTCTGTAAAAAACACGGTATTTTATGTAATGTTGACTGATTGACAACAATTTAACGTGAAAATAATTTAGAAATATTTTATATAACTGTTTTTGTTAACATTTTTTGTTTTTTTAGTGCAACTGTTTTTGCTCCCTTCTACCAATTCTTGAGAATGAAATAAAATGTCTTTCCGAACCTTGTTCAGCATACAACATGTTTTTAGACCGCTCAATATTATAGTTATACAAAGGAATTTTTGGTTGATTTTAAAAAAAGTATTAAAAAAATTATAACAAAACCACACCCAAAATAGATAAAAATCAAGGTAAACCTTTTATTTCATTTACAAGATACTTTTTTAAAATCAACCATTTCCTTTGTACAATTACAATATTGAGAAACCTAAACATGTTGTGTTTATGTCGTTTTGATCCAACGAGGTTCGGAAAGATGTTTTATTTCACTCTGGAAACATGATACCAAGAACAAAACAAGTGTTTGATGTGTTTTCTAAAACAATATAGATGAAAGTATATATATTTTTCAAATTATATTGTTACCATTCAAAAGATGACCATTAAATTGACAATGTGTTAAATTTTTAGATTTTTTTATGACTGGTTTAAGAGAAATGTGTGTTCAAAAAGTTCTCCATATCGATACCACTCCTTTGCCGCATTTATCAATTTTTGCATGCCTAATTTTTTGGCTATGCCCCTAAGTAGAAAGGGGTTGGGGAATTCCAGGGCCTTGCTACAGACTTCTTGATTATATATTACAAGCTAGCAAAATGCTAAATAAAACCATGGACTTTCTCCAGTATGTGGAAGCCCCTGAGGAAATATTAACCATTCAAGAAAAAGAGGCAAAATTGGGCAAGTCATATTAAGAGATCCAGTCTTTCTTTTTCATTAATTGAAATAAAGATTTTTTATCATCAACTGATAACTTGATTTTCTATCATCTGTTGATAAGGGGAACATGTGTTTCTAAAATCAATTGACATGTGTTTTTTATTATCAACTGACATAACGTTTTCTATTTATAATTAACAAAGGTTTTTATTAAACCATTGACATTTCCCCGACTCAAATCTATAATTGAAGGATTATACAAAAAGTATCTTAATAATAGATGTCTAAGCTCATCAACAGGGCATGACCTTTAAAAGTCCTTTTATACGGTACTTATTAAAATGTCTATAGCCCTTTATATATTGAGGTTCAATGTCGAATGGTTTACTATTACTTTCATATCAAGAGCAGGAAAAGGCACATGGTGACCATGTTAACACTTAACATTGATTTTCCCAGAAGAATATAAAGCCAAAGGCTGATAAGCTGATATTAAAGCTGAAAAACACATTGGAGACGAGTTGAAATGAACTTTCCTAAAATATCACAATTCAAAAAATCTTTGTCATTTGAGCGAACATTCTTCTAAAGTTTGTTTTTCAATTGTCAGATTCTGTTCTTATTAGATATAGCCAACTTTTCTCTACATATTATAATGCATATTTCTATGTGTGTTATTTGTTAAAGGTTGAACAATTAGTGCATTGACGTGTCCAATGATCATGGACCTAGTGTCAAAATATTGGAAGTTTGGATATTTCCTCAAGGCTAACATCTATTTTCATTATCTATAAAGAATCCCCCTGAATAAACATTATTTCAGCTGAAATTCCTGTAGTTAAAATCCTGAAATGTAGTATATCTTAAAAATCTATAAGTGGGTTTCTTTTTATGCCTGGAAACTTAAAACTTCATTTACGCTTCTAAATGCGGCAATAGATAGGCATGTCCATACACTTGAAATTTTTCAATTCATCTCTCAACAGGCCTTGTTGCCATTTTAATAAAGGTTTTTAGGTATTGTATATCTATATCCTTCAAATTCTGCCCCTCCCTTAATCATCTGATATTAAAATCAAAATTTATATTTTCAGTTTCTTTATAATTTGAGTTGATAACATCCATATATTGTCTCTTTATATATATATAACCCCATTGATTTTTATTGGATGTAATTCTTGAGTGTTTGATGGTCAATATGTCTGACACAGTATCACTATCAAGCATTGATTGATTCTATTTCCATCAAACAATCAAATCTCATGATAACAGAGCATGCATGTACAGTATATCTTTACTTTCTGGGCACCCCGTAAGTTTGTCGGAGTAAGAGATGGGTACAAGTATGTAAATCAAGATTCGATGAGTGATTTGTCCATAGTCCGGGTGCTTTTCATTTCTTTTGTTGTAACAGTGAAAATCAATAGGTTGACACAGTACACAATACACAGTACACATTATACAATATACAATAACAGATTGTTTTTTTTCAACAAAAACAGCACTAACATCCCAATTCCTGTTTAATTACCTGTTAATGCATTTCAAAGACAAAATCAATGGTACGTAATAAAATTGTTTGGATTGAATACATTATTGGGTTAATTGAATACTGTTTGTATGAAAATATATGAGTTTTATTCAATGCCGATCAGATTCTGAGATTACTGATTTCCATTTTTATTGGATATATTGGATGTACCGGGTATGACAATGTTGGATTGAGGGTTTGTATCCAACCAGATCGGTTTTTGTTTGGTATGTTTAGGTATGGAAAAATTATCGTTTTCAATATTTGATTGTCCCTCTGGTTTTTAAATAAATGCTAAAAATCTTATTAGTACCTGTTTATGTGATGTCCCCAATGTCCCAAAGGCCATTAACATTCTGGGGCTAATTGAATATTTTAGAGATATTTCATATTTGAGTAATTTTTTTTGTACATGCATTAGACTTTAATTTTACAATACAAAACTATCAAAATAGTGAAAGGACGATTCTCGTCTCCTGGGTTAAAACATTTTTTCATGAAAAAATATAGAAATATTACCCAAATTAAACTATGAATATTCAAAAGAGGACATTTAAATCTACAAGATGTAAAAATAACAAATTGGTCTGAAGCAGGGGTAACGTTCAATTAGACCGATTCAATAAAATACAAGTCTCGATTTGGGGAAAGAAGTTCATCAGTGTACTGCGCTGATATTTTTTTGAGAAAAATCTAGAAATATTACCCAAATTAAATTATGACTATTCAAAAGAAGACATTCAAATCTATATTATGTAAAAAAAATCAAATTTGTCCGAAGCAGGGATATGCTCATTTAGATTGATGAACTTCGTTCTACAAACCGAGAATCGTCCTTTTCTCTCCTAGTCAGAGGTAATTGTAATCACTATTTGCCTAAGGATATGGAAAGATCTAATTGATCGATAGAGCACAGTGACTGAATGTCCATAGCTCTCAATTGACTCAAGAGAGGTAACAATTTTCCAAATTGTTGCGTGAGAACTTAGTCTTTGATGTAGTATGGGGTTTTGAGAAAGCGGCAACTGAAGTAAAAGATTCATAAACGCTGTCATGTGAATCATGATTGAACGTCCTTACTCTGTACCCTGCGTGCAGAGTCCAGTTAAACTACATGCATGCAGAGTCTAGTTAAACTACACACTGCCTAGTAGAGACCATATTACAGTTTAGTAGCCCCACCCCCACGATGGGTATGGTGACAGTTTGGGTAATAAATCACTTCTGACCTATGCGCTGACCTTTCTTCCACCATTCAGCGAGCTTGAAGAAACATACGCCAAATGCATTCTAATTAAATATGCGAATGTCATTGGTCAATACCGGGCTCAACGATGTTGTCAGAAGGAATG